AAATGACTGCTTCACGACTGATTTGAGAGCGACCGCCGATGCGAAAACCGCTGTGTGAGTTCGAAAAGTGAGTAACAGAATCGCAAGGCAGGAGTTGTAGGTTGTTATAAAATTTTTTGAAAAAGACAGACATACCAATGGAATGTTTTAAATTTATATTTATTATATTTTTATATTAATAATCTACACATATTCTACACTTACGTAAAATGTCTTATGTACAAATACCTATCACTTCATAATTTACATAATACGGTCGGAATCCGCCAATATGATTAAAAAAGACAGAAATCCAAACAGAGATGTTTCTATTATACATACATGTACTTCGATACCACTGTAGCCTACATTTCCATTAATTTTATGGCCGTTAAAACGAACCTAATTGTATCAATCATTCATTTCTATCTATAGTTGAAGCAATCATAAAATTTAGATTTCCATAACAATGCCTTCACTATCCTTGCTGTTTTATCATCATTTTAATTTCATGTTTAATACAGACAGGCTATGAACAGCAAAGTCGATGTTAAAACCTCTAGTTGGTTCGTGTGGCAGCGGCAGTATTCCGTCTTGTTTGCGAGGCGATGTAAGTGGAGGGGTGATCGTGGGGGGGCCTCTGAAGACGTCCGGGGGGTGGGGGAGGGGGTGTGCGTGTCTGCTCCACCTGGAACCGGCTTGGTTGGATGATCAGGTCCTGACGAGGCGGCATATCTGTAAATGATCACTATAAATGTCTTTAAAAGGAATAACAAGAGAATTATTTATGAATCTGATATTTTGGGTGATATTCTAATTGTGCGACAGAGTAAGACTCAAGAAGATATAAAGACGTATTTCAATACTTTTCTGTTGGCCTAACATATACATAACGGCTTTTACTGGACGTCAAGCTTTTTATCCTGTAAAAGTGAGCATACAAAATGATCGTTCTACTCTTTTGACATAAGCATATGCACACAGCAAGAAAGTGTAAGTCTTACCTGTTTATAATCTACGAATACTAGGATGGAATTTAATTGCAAACTTTGAAGAAAATTTTTAGATTCTTGCGTGGATAGGTACTAAGATGATAGTAGTGTGCGGGGCAGGTGGTGTAGGTAACACGGATCTATCCTGGAATGGAAAATAATAACATATCAGAAGTGCTTTATGTAAATACAAATGAAGTAGAAATAAATCAAAAACAATTTAAAATAATTTATATGAATAATATTTGTTTTTAAGTTTCGGAAATTTTTGGATGACAGCGTTATTGGAACGTTTATTCACTCATGCGACGGTGTAATTAATATTTATCATTAAGAGTTTATAATGTAAACGTAAATTTCAAGAAAACGAATATTATTATTATTTTTTTTTTTAAGACAATTCACACCAATTGACCTAGTCCCATGCTAAGCTGGTGAAGCTTGTGTTATGGGTACTAGGCAACGGATATACATACATATTATAGATAGATAGACATATAAATACATATTTAAACACCCAAGACCTAAGCACAACACCAAATGCTCATTACATCGATGTTCCTCTCAGCCGGGGATCGAACCCGGGACCCATGGATCTGGACTCCCTCGCAGTCAGAGGTACTAACCACTAGACCAATGAATCGTCGTTTATAATCCGGAACCTTTTCCTATTTATGAAGCATTGACATAACATATAGCACTAATTTGTCTCGTTAATTTTTCAAGTTTCGGTTGGGTTGGTTCAATAATGATATAAAATCCATAAATTAAAGACACTACTCTATTTGAATATCTTTGTAAATATTTGTACGTCTTGTATACATAAAAATTTAGTTATACCTAATAGAATTCATATTGATCTATCATGTGTTATTATTAATTCAACACGAAGTGAAATATGAAGACGAGCATATTGAATCGCTGATTGTAAATAGAACAGAAAACAAAGTATGGTTTTGTTATTCTAAACTAACTTAAGTACTTTATATCTGATAAATAGATAAAATAACAACAGAATAAACACGACGTCGCGTCGAGTCGATATAACGAATATTGTCACAAACTGTTTAATTTCGTAGTTATTCTATATGTAGGCTTAAAACATAACCGAATGAGAAAATACTGACGCCACGTACATAAGGGGACTAAAATGTGTTTTTGTGCAGTTTTATAATTTTTATTAGAAGCTTTTTCCCACTTTACCCTACGACTTTTTTTTAGCTAATAATTATTTCCAAAAATTAACTAGCAAAATACTAGACATAATCTATAAACTCAAATTTATTTAGTTTTTATTTATTTAAAGCTATTACATAGGTATGTGGTCACGGCTATCGGAATATTAAAAAGTCTTGTCATATCGATAAGTTAACTTATCGAAAATCATACCTTGTTACAAACACATATTATATAATTACCTACCTACATTTAAAATTTTGGTAGACTTATAACTTGAATAATTATTACTAATTAGTCTTAGACTTTATTTAAATTGGTCGACTGGTGGTATAGTAATAAGAACATTTAAAACTTACCGAAATTAAATTAATGTAGATTCTACGAAGATCAAATTTAAGGGAACCTTGTGATATTTAAATATTTTCTTAACACCATATTTTGCGTTTTACTAGATGTCAAGATGTTTTTAAACTAAATGAATTTATCTGATGATAGCTTATCTGGCTTATCATACTTGAAGTCTTCAAAGAAATATTCTAGTAAACATTTTGTAACACAAGTACTTAGATAAACTTGAGAGAAATGATAGATTCTTCTTTAACCTTGACCCAAGATGTGAAGGTAATACTAGACAACATCCTAATTCCTAAGTTTAAATAAATTCGTTATTAATATAAATGAGATTTATCTGGACTTTTTTTCATCCCTACTAATGAAATTAAAATTATGTAGAGCTTGTGTGGAAATAGAACTTGCGTCCGATTTGATGTCGCAGCAGTGCTAAGTTACCATTGTTTGTTTTGTTGACGTTATTTGTTACGCATTATACTTAGACCGTAATCAACTTAATAGTTACTATGATAAAAAATTCAAAGTCTTTAATTTTTGTGAATAAATGTAATGACGCAGAGCAAATAAGAATTACATATATTAGTTCGCATAACCGCTATGGTTCTCTTTACGGATAGAGAAATTGTATGTATATGTCACCGTAAAATTGTAAACACCGTTAGATTGTAATATATCTCGCGAGATTGTAAACTGTCGAAAGATTGTGAACCTCAACGAACTGCTTACAATTTAAGGTATTATTATTCGGTAGATTGTACTACACTAACTTAGTTATCATTCAAACTACTATACTACATAATATATATGTATAATCGCGATACAGCTGCATGAGATATTGAAAACTATCAGTTCCATAAGCTTAGACAGACTGTTTCATTACATAAGCATAAAATAGGCATAAAAAATGATTTGAATTGTTTGATGAAGGTAATATGAAATTTTAGTTGATTTTAATGAATGTAGACTATAAAATTAACAGTGCGCTGTCGTTGTCACTTTTATTGTACCGTCTACATTAATGTTCACTCATATTAAGAGAGAAATTATTGACTGTGAAAATAATGTCAATTGTCAGTTGTCATTATTTCATCAAGTGAGATATCAGATAAGTCATTGTGATTGTGTAATTGTGTATTGATTTTTCTAGAAGTATGATGAAATAAAAGTACATTTGTATCAATCATCTTTAATTGTCTATAACTTTTGCAATTTTTTATGTGCTAATACACGCTTTTAGCACATTTTTCTAGACGTCATTCCGGATCCAATGAGCTATCGCCATAATTTTAAGAGCAGTATCTCTATTTTGTTCCATTTTCAACTTGTCGACTAGACTATTTGGTACGCAAGGGTGGAGGGGCTGCATTTGCCGTAGCGCCGGAGCTGTCCAAAAAAACAAATATTATTTAGATCGGTTAGGTTAGGTTAGTATGATGATGATGATTAATATTTGGTCGCCGAAGGCGAACAAGAAGCCGAGTTGCCGAGGGCTGAATAAACAATTATTATTTAGATCGGAGCTGTCCAAAAAAACTAATATTATTTAGATCGGTTAGGTTAGGTTAGTATATGAATATTTGGTCGCCTTCGACGACCAAGAAGCCGAGTTGCCGAGGGCTGAATAAACAATTATTATTTAGATAAATAGGTGAGATATTTTAAAAAAAAATTTTTGTTTCCGGCGCGCAAAATTTGTGGGGGGTGATTACTACACCCCTCCCCCCTCCTCACCACCCCCGCAACCCCAAATTTGGGCGGATCGTTTTCGAATCGTTATCTGTTTCATTACATAAGCATAAAAAATGATTTGACAACATGTGAAAATTACAATATAACAAAAATCAAATTGAATTGTTTGATGAAGGTGATATGAAATTTTAGTTGATTTTAATGAATGTATACTATAAAATTAACAGAGTGCTGTCGTCTACATTTTTTTTTTTTTTTTTATGGCTCTGGCACGATTTGTGCATTAGCCAGCGTCAAGTATAGGACTTTTTTTATAATTCGTGCTCGTCTTTTAGAAATTCGACAGTGCCCTTTATGTACGGTTTAAGCACTCGCCCGGTACCGCACAACCCTCCCAAAGGCCGAGAACAAATTTGAATTAAATTAAAACTTGCCCTCGAACCGGGAATCGAACCCGGTACCCCTCACCTAGCTGCCACTTAATAAGACCGCTAGGCTATGAGGCCCCCTACCGTCTACATTAATGTTCACTCATATTAAGAGAGAAATGATTGACTGTATAAAATAATGTCAGTTGTCTACTGACATTTCTGTGTTCAGTGACGACTGAGTACTGACGAGTGACATAAGTCATTGTTGATTGTGTAATTGTGTATTGATTTTTCCAGAAGTATGATGAAATTAAAGTACATTTGCATTAACTTCATCTTTTTAAATTAAAATTTCTATAAATAGTTCGGATTATAGATTTATCATCAAATCCGTTTATTCATTGTGTTATAACAATTAATTTAAAGTATAAATTTCGAAATGGATCAGAATAATGATGGGACTCGTGCACCAATACCAGGCACTTCCTCTGCTCCTATACGCATCAGAAATTTAGAGGTAAAATTATTAATGACATTATAATTATTATAATAACCTTAATCTAAACATTGTTCTACTTATTCTGAAATTATCAAATTTTTCTTTATTGATTTCTTTGGAGGATTGATGGTCTTTTAGAAACTCATTGTTTAAATTTCAGGATTTAATCAGAGCTCTTGATGACCATGCTGCAACAGCTGAAGATGCACCAAATTCTTCAGATGAAGAGGTATGTTATAATATTAATTAATAATACTGTATGTTTCAGTTACAAGTTTTGTTTGTCTTTTAGCAAATTTAATTATCAAATATCTTAACTTTTTGTTAAAAATTAAGTTAAAAATTCCAAACATTCATATGATATCTTATATCTCTTTTTGTATCACATTTCAGAGGGGGGAGGATTTAGCTAATGTCTTCAAAGGTATAACATTTACTGAGACGGAGCTTTTGATTGATCCTATAAAAGTATTGACTGATGTTGAAAAGATAAAAGGCATACAGCTTGGAGATGAGTTGCCTGATGATGTTGAAGCTGCATTTGAACTTATCTTGTCATACATTGATAATTTAGATGCTAATGGTAGGTGAATTTCGTAATATTTAATCATTTTCATCTCTTGCAATGGCTAATATTATGGCAAATTCACTGATCAAAATCATAAAACAAATTACCTACAAAGTGTTAGGATGTTATTAAGATTACCTTAGTATTCATGTATTTAATTTAACATATCCTGACAATTATGGTACTAATCAAATGGTCAGATATATTATGTGACAAGCAGAATACAAAGGCTATGGCAAAAGACAACCAAAAATAGATTGCTTTACTGTATGCATCACTTACCCTTAAATGGAGAAAACTCGAACCACTTTGCAACAAGAAAAGATTCCCTGAGAACATATACATCACAGAAGACTACCCAAAAGAGATTCTAACTAGGAAAGAACTAAAAATCAAGAGGAAATAAGAAGGGCATAATAATCAGAAAGTAAATGACAAACATCCAGGTATGATAGAGAGGAAGCTAACCTAAGCTGCAAGATAACACTAAATAATATGAGACAAGAACAAAAATTAATAAGACAAATACATTAGGATTTACAACACAACCATGAACTAACTTAACTCTAGACCTCAACAACCAATGACAAATACACACATTTATAGACAGAAGCCTCTTCCAAGCTGGATAGCCTCTCCATGGGAGATAATGACCACAACCCTACAGCACACCAATTGTGTGACGAGTGTCCTAACACAACTGACAAATGTTTGAAAAACAAAACTGAAAAGATAGACAAACCCCTAAACTAAATATTAACATACACATAGTAACTAAATATATTAATTCTATGACCTGACAAGCAGCTTCAAGAATTAGAGAATGCACTGCAAACTGATGAGATATCCTGGACTTGAGCAAAATAAGAAGATTGGGAGATACAGTTGAAGAGGATAGGGACTACATATAGTACTACAAAGGCGAAACGGAAGGACAGTATGCAGTACGGGTGGCCAACAATTGTGAACCAGCCCAACCAAGTTTTTAGCAGAATAATAATCAAAAACACAGTAAAAAGGAAATAAACAGCATGTACAAAACAATAAAACCTAAAACAACAAAATTAAAAAAAAATATACATGTCAAAAGGTCAGAAAGGCAAGTCACTGCTTAAATAAATAATCAGGGTTAGCAAAGAAATAAGCAAAAGTATGAAGAAGGACAGAGTTAGAAAAATAAAGGAATGCATTAATCACCACATAAGTGAAACAGGAGGGATTAAGAAAGCACTGAAGGAATTCCGAGAAACAGAATTATACTAGTGCTAGACAGGCTACTTCTAATTAATTTGCGATATTTGTTTTAAAATAAGTGTTGTTTGATTTTAAAAGAGTACCGAGAGTTTTTTACGCCGGCTTTTTCTCTCGGCCTAAACCCTCTGTCTTCTTTGCTGATGTAGGGATGCCTGCAGTTTCAAATTTAATGACGTGAAATAAGTGATACCTGTATCTTATGTTCCAAAATAAACATATTTTATTTTTTACTAAAAAACAAACATGATAAACCTGAGACCATAGAATGAAAGCCACAATACAATATGGTTACTTTTATTTTTATATGGAAAGTTGCAGCCTGTCCTAGCCTCTCTTGGCAGACATTTATTTCATTCAATGATTTAGAAATAAATATATCCTATGTTACACAGGGATAACATAGCATTCTAATTGTGAAATATTTTGTAGTTTTTGTATGCATTTCTTACAAACAGAAAATTATAAACCTCTTCCTCCTATTACTACCTGTAACATTGTAACTGGTACATACCAAGTATGGTACAAACTATAATGCTCCATGCCATATTCATGCTATTAGTAGAACTAAGATTAAGGTTCTACTTCGTATGGGTTAATTAAATTATCCATAACAAAAATCATGTGTAACTCTTAAGAGTAGTTACTAATATATTAATTAATGATTTCAGATTTCTTCAAAATTGGGGGACATGCTGTGTTTCCTGTCTGCTTTGGAAGTGAAAACGAGGAATTGCGGTGTAGAGCCAGTTGACTGCTTGCAGTGTTGTGCCAAAATAATCGTTTCTGCCAGGCGCGCGCCTTGGAGAGTGGCTTGCTTAATATAATCTTACACATGGTGACCACAGAACATGGTCAAGCTTTGGCCGAGTGTATTTCTGCTGTATCTTGTAAGTAATTGTAATTAAAATATAAGTATGGAATGAAGTCTTAGTAGAGCATAGAATGTAAACCTTTAAAGTAACTCAATCAAAAAAAAATATAATTCCATAATTACCACTTGCTTTGTATGATAGGCATGGAAGGCTGACCTACTTCTATATAAAGAAAATGATCAATGAAATGGATGCAGCAATTTTGTTCTCATATTACCCTATAAGACGTATATTTTTTCAAATACAGAATTAATTAATAAATCATTAAGTTGATCAGACGAAATTATTGCTGCATTTGCACACTCCAAAAATTAACAAGGTGGAAATGTAACCACCCAACAAAATATTACACAGAAATATAGCTTAGGAAGCTGACTCTCATCAACAAATCAATAGAAACCATTCAGGATCTTAAATTCTGTTTATTCACTATTTGCAGGTGCAACGCGTGAGTTTGAGCCCTCTTGCGCGGAGTTAACAGCGCAGGGCGGGTGTGAGGCTCTAGCAGCTGTGCTGGGTTCGGATGACGTGTCAGCCAAGACGAAGAGTGCCTCCCTTGTTGCCTACCTTTGTGGTCACTACACGCCTGCTAGAGGTATTACATTGTTTAAATCTATATTTGTCTATAAAATTTTGTATTAAATGTTTCAGCACTATTTATTCATAATTCACAGCTTTTTAAAAAAATAGATAATATTAACCATTTTTAGAATTAAAATATGTATAGCCAAAACGGTTAACACCATATATACAACAAAAATTAGTATTAATATTTATACCACACTTATATAATATTCTGGTAGTGTCTTCTGTCTTATCTTTTTCTTGATCTTCTGTTTATTATGAAAATTGTATTGTATACTATATTACAATATAGTCCAACCATACAAAAATAGTATTAGTTGATAAATGCACACGTTTATTTCTCCTTGATAGCCTGTGCTTACTTAGATATGTATTTATTATGTTGTCATGTAATAAAATCTGATTATTTTCAGAAAAATTTATAGAGCAAAATATTGTCCGCATTATCGCAAAACAGATTGAAAAAGGTGGGGATGATGCCACAGAGCATCTTTTAAGGATACTCTACGACCTCAAAAATGATCAGAGAGTGGTTCAACAGTGTCAGGATATCAATCTTAAGAAGATTCTAAAAGAGCATTTGAAAAATACAGAGAAAGATATTTTTTTCGAAGGAACAACAGTATTGTATGGAGTTATTAAAGGTTATTGGTAGCTGTCCCCATGCTCAAGTTAAACAGAGTGAGGCCGATAGATAGATTTTTGTAGAACTTGGATTATTCATATTAACTTTAAGATATATTATAATCTTTAGCTTTACCGGTTGCAACCACCGCAAAGCATGTTACTAATATGTGCGTTTCTCTATTATCTATGTCAAGTGTATATTAGGTATTAAAACATTAAATTAATACTCCTTAATTAATGCCGTTAATGAAAACTACGAAATAAAAAATTAAATATTGAACGTTTTTTATTTCACGTATCACGCATAAAATATCAATAAATACAATTAATAACAACACATTCATCTACATTTTGAATATGATAAATAAACAACAAACTGTTTTCAATATGTACTACTTATTAAAGTTGTTTTTGTTGGTTACATAATAATCACTTCAACCACTTGAGTGATTAAGATTACAGAATTATTTTAGTGAATAGGATTAGTTCATCAGATATTAAATTCTTTTTTAATTTATAGCAGCCGTCAGGCACTTAGGTTTTATTTAAAAAAATGGTCGACATAACAATTTTTGAATCAATTATTACTAATGTTTAGTTATCAAAACACAACCTCTTAATTTGTTCATAGAAGAATATTAAAAACCGACTGAGAACTTCAATAAAACAGCTTGGTTTAACTTACTATCAAGATTAATAACTGTTGTATAAGGCTATGTTCAGATGGCAAAAACTTGACGCGCGTTTTCAAATCGCGCGACTAGATATTGTGGTATTTTCATACAACTGTACAGAAAAAGTCTCTAGACGCAGGTGATCGCGCTTTGATATTATGGTAATGTCCGTATGCTGTTCACTGTTCAGTTGAGCGCGCGCTTTCATCGCGATCGCATGTAATTTTGTTAATTTTCGTAATTATATTTATAACAAACTGGGTCTATTTTTAAAAATTGGATGAACCCAATGTGTACGTTTTCTTTTTCTATATTTTTCTTTATAATATAACTACAAGATAATACCCTCTTCCACGTCCATTTTCTACGTTCTACCGAACTAGACTGACGACTGACGAGTACTCTCGCAACGCGCATTAGCGCTCATCATCTGAACTCTCTTCAAATTTGATCGCGCGTTGACGCGCGTTACATGTTATGCGTTACATGTGAACATAGCCTGATCCCTCCTTGAATGTGTTATCGAAATTTTTCCAAAGTCGATATCAGTGTACCTTCACCAACTACGATTGTTGTGTTTGTTGCATTAAATTTTTCTATTGCTGTTTCAATTATGAGGATATCTGCGTCATATTGAGCTTGTTTCACTGCAATATTAGCAGCTGTTAATTTGTCACTTATGACTTAACATGGAAATGAAACGAGATTTATTATTAATGTTAGCGAAAAATTGTTGTTGATTCGCTGGAACTGACATAAATTCATCAAATATAATCTCGGAACCCGATGATCTTTTTGTAGTTCGACGACGTTGTTCTGCAGCTTTAATATATTATGTACTTTCACTGACCACTGTAGCCGTCAAATAGTATAATATCTATAAATTCGTGGAGGCGTTCTTTTCCGCGTCGATGAACGCGCCGGGTACCGCGTGGGAGTTTCGTCCTTTCGCGGGGTTTCATTATTTTCGCACCTCATTAAGATGAGGAGGTGATTGGATTGGGGGAGGCCCAGGTTGGTCCGGTATCTATTAATTTTGACAACCGGTTGAGTGGGTTGATCAAGCGTTTAAGTGCCAGATGTGGTAGCCTGCGGTTCCGTGCTAACAGCTAAGATTCTCCCGCGGGAAGCGGCGCTTGTGCTCAGGTAGTCGGGTGTGATGCGGCGCGATGTCAAACATGCCCCTTGAACTGTGGGTAGCTAAGTCCTCTATGTGGAGGTCCCTGGCGTACGCACCACGGGGCGTCGACGATCCGCCTTAGGGTCTTGTTTTGGATCGCGTGCAGGCGCTTCTTTTGTGAGTCTGAGGCGAGTGCTTACCAGGCCGGGGTCGCATAGGTCAAATGAGGGCGGACGTAGATTTTGAATAGGGCTACGTTCCGCTGGATCGGCATCTTAGAGTTGAACAGGGGGCGTAATATCTATAAAAGAGACACAAATAGGTATTTATACTTGTCTAAGTGCCTGATTATGTATATACGTGGCTTATATGAGCACGATAGTCATCACGATATTTCAGAAATAGTAACTCTTAGGAAAAAATTGGAAAGACCATTTTTGTATAGAATTTAAGGATCTACAACTTTAGCTTAGAACTTTTTTTTTTGATAATACCGTTTTCGAGAAAAAATCATATTTGATCTTTGACCCCGAATAACTTTTGTAGCACACATATAATCGATGGGGATTTTTAAAACTTTAATTGTAATGGTAAACCCCAGCTCTCCACCAAAATTTAGCTTTCCGGGAATTTTTGTTATTTCAAATGTTGTTTCAAAATTGACCGGACTAAAAGCTCACAATACCCGTACTCGTAGTAGGCTTGGCGTCTGTGTCAATATTGGTTACAGGCCACTGTCTCCTAAGTTTAAATAAATTCTTTATTACTATAACTGAGATTTATCTGGACTATTTTCATACCTGTTAAAGAAATTATAATTATATATAGAGTTTGTGCGGAAAGAAAACCTGCGTGGGATTTGATGTCGCAGCAGTGGTAAGTTACCATTGTTTTTTTTTTACGTTATGTTTTAGTAAAATTATTATCTACGCATTATACTTAGACCGTAATCAATTAATAGTTAATATGATAAAAAATTCAAAGACTATATTTTTTGTAAATAAATGTAATGACGCATAGCAAATAAGAATTATATATATTGGTTCGCATAACCGCTATGGTTCTCTTTCCGGATAGACTCTATTTGTTGGTATTCTATAAACCTGTGGATATATAAAAAAATTGAGGAAAGAGAAATTATATTTATATAATACATAATGTATACATTGTATATCGCGATACAGCTGCATAAGATATTGAAAACTATCAGTTCCATAAGCTTAGATAGACTGTTTCATTACATAAGCATAAAAAATGATTTGACAACATGTGAAAATTACAATATAACAAAAATCAAATTAAATTGTTTGATGAAGGTGATATGAAATTTTAGTTGATTTTAAAGAAACCGTCTACACTCTACATTAATGTTCACTCATAGTAAGAGAGAAATGATTGACTGTGAAAATAATGTCAGTTGACTCAGTTGTCTACTGACATCGAGTGAGATATCAGATAAGTCATTGTGTAATTGTGTATACTGTTAACTGTATACTGTATTGATTTTTCCAGAAGTATGATGAAATAAAAGTACATTTGCATTAACTTCATCATTTTAAATTGAAATTTCTATACATAGTTCTGATTATAGATTTATCATCAAATCCGTTTATTCATTGTGTTAAAACAATTAATTTCGAAATGGATCAGAATAAAGATGGGACTCGTGCACCAATACCAGGCACTTCCTCTGCTCCTATACGCATCAGAAATTTAGAGGTAAAATGATTAGTGACATTATAATTATTATAATAAACTTAATCTAAACATTTTGCTACTTTTTCTGAAATTTTCTTTATTGATTGCTTTGGACTGAAATATCTTTTAGAAACCCATTGTTTAAATTTCAGGATTTAGTCAGAGCTCTTGAGGAACATGGTGCAAGTGCTGAAGATGCACTAAATTCTTCAGACTTCAGACCTATGGATGAAGAGGTATGTTATAATATTAATTTACTGTATGTTTCAGTTACAAGTTTTGTTTGTCTTTTAGCAAATTTAATTATCAAATATCTTAACTATTTGTTAAAAATTAAGATAAAAATTACAAATATTCATATGGTATCTTATATCTCTTTCTGTATCACATTTCAGAGGGGGGAGGTTTTAGCAAATGTCTTCAAAGGTATAACAGTTACTGAGAGGAACATTTTGATCAATCCTATAAATGTATTGACTGATGTTGACAAGATATATAGCATACAGCTTGGAGATGAGTTGCCTGAAGATGTTAAAACTGCATTTCAAAAAATCACGTCATACATGGTTTTAGATAGAGCTAATGGTAGGTGAATTTCGTAATATTTAATCATTTTCATCTCTTGCAATGGCTAATATTATGGCACATTCACTGATTAAAATCATAAAACAAATTACCTAAAAAGTATTAAGATGTTATTAAGATTACCTTAGTATTCATGTATTTAATTTAACATATCCTGACAATAATTATGGTACTAATCAAATGGTCAGATATATTATGTGACAAGAAGAATACAAAGGCTATGGCAAAAGACAACCAAAAATAGATTGCTTTACTGTATGCATCACTTACCCTTAAATGGAGAAAACTCGAACCACTTTGCAACAAGAAAAGATTCCCTGAGAACATATACATCACAGATGACTACCCAAAAGAGATTCTAACTAGGAAAGAACTAAAAATCAAGAGGAAATAAGAAGGGCATAATAATCAGAAAGTAAATGACAAACATCCAGGTATGATAGAGAGGAAGCCAACCTAAGCTGCAAGATAACACTAAACAATATTAGACAAGAACAAAAATTATTAAGACAAACACATTAGGATTTACAACACAACCATGAAATAACTTAACCTTAGACCTCAACAACCGATGACAATTACACACATTTATAGACAGAAGCCTCTTCCAAGCTGGATAGCGTCTCTATGGGAGATAATGACCATAACCCTCCAGCACAATTTTGTGACGTAACACAACTGACAACTGTTTGAAAAACAAAACTGAAAAGATAGACAAACCCCTAAACTAAATATTAACATACACATTTTTTTTTTATTTTTTTTTATATAAGTCCTTGCAATCAGTCAGCTAGACTATGAGCAGATGTGTTGAGAGCTGTTAGACGTTCAGAGCAAAATCTCCATCGAGACTGCTCCTCTCTTTCAACCGTGTCTATCAAGACTTAGGATTTGTCGCCTTTTAAGCCTATTTATTAGGTCCGGTATGGTTAGTTGCGTGGCAAGCTTAGGATGCATTTCTAGCCTTTTTCTGTATTTCATATTCCAGGTTTTGATCTCCTCTTTGACAGTCCTGATTTTGAGGTGCTCATGAATCTCCGATGTTTTTATAAACCACGGACAGTTGGATATTTGTTTCAAGATGTAGTTTTGAACCTTCTGTATGATACTTATGTTAGAGTCACACGCCGAACCCCATAGTTGAATCCCGTATGTCCAAATTGGTTTCAAGAGCATTTCGTAGATGAGTAGCTTATTATCTACTGACAGTTTGGAATTTCTGCCAAGAAGCCAGTAGAGTCCTCTGTATTTCAGGTTGATTTCTTCTCTCTTCTTCTGTATGTGTTGTTTCCATACGAGTCTCCTATCAAGGTGTATTCCCAAGTATTTTACACAGTTTTCTTGAGGAAGTTGTTGATTGCACAGAGTTACTGGCGGACAGTCTCCTCTACGGAGAGTGAAGGTTACATGAACGGATTTTGTCACACTAGTTTTTATTCTCCACTTTGAAAGCCAGGTTTTAATTTCTTGCAATCCTGTCTGTAGGAAGTCTGAAGCTTCGATTGGGCTATTACTACATGCCAGTACAGCAGTATCGTCTGCGAATGTTGCTAATGTGACGTGTTCGCTTTGTGGTAAATCACATGTGTAGGTAAATGGTATATAAGACTGGGCCCAGGACAGACCCCTGCGGTACTCCAGCTTTAATTGAGTGAAATGGCGATGTACAATCTTCTTCTCTTACTTGAAATATTCTTTCTGTTAGATAAGATTTAATGATGGGGAAGAATGTACAGGGTAGAAGAGTTTTTACTTTATACAAGAGACCTTTATGCCATACTCTATCAAACGCCTGCTGCACGTCTAGGAAGGCAGAGGAGCAGTACTCCTTTATCTCTAGTGCCTTCCTTATTACAGAGCAGATTCTATGGACTTGTTCCACAGTGCGATGCTGCTGGCGAAAACCAAACTGGTGGTCCGGGATTATGGCTCTTTGATGAATCTCCTCCAATAATCTGTGCTGACTGACTCAAAAAGTTTTGACGTTACGGTTAGCAGACTAATCGGCCTATATGAGCTAAGTTCGATTTATTAACATACACATAGTAACTAAATGTATTAAATCTATGACCTGACAAGCAGCTTCACTAATTAGAGAGTGCACTGTAAACTGATGAGATATCCAGCAAAATAAAAAGATTGGGAGATACAATTGAAGAGGATAGGGTGTACATATTTTACTACAGAGGCGAAACGGAAGGACAGTATGCAGTACGGGTGGGCAACAAGTGTGAACCAGCCCAACCAAGTTTTTAGCAGAATAATAATCAAAAACACAGTAAAAAGGAAATAAACAGCATGTACATGTATAAATATATACATGTCAAAAGATGAGAAGGGCAAGCCTAAAGAAATAACCAGGGTTAGCAAAGAAATAAGCAAAAGTATGAAGAAAGACAGAGTTAGACAAATAAAGGAATGCATTAATCCCCACATAAGTAAAACAGGAGGGATTAAGAAAGCACTGAAGGAATTCCGAGAAACAGAATTGTAGATACCAATACTACTAGTGCTAGACAGGCTACTTCTAATTAATTTGCGATATTTGTTTTAAAATAAGTGTTGTTTGATTTTAAAAGAGTACCGAGAGTTTTTTACGCCGGTTTTCCGCCGTCTTTGATGATGTAGCGATGCCTACAGTTTCAAATTTAATGACGTGAAATAAGTGATAGCTGTATCTTATGTTCCATAATAAACATATTCTATTTTTTACTAAAAAACAAACACGATAAGCCTGAGACCATAGAATTAAAGCCACAATACAAATATGGTTACTTTTATTTTTATATGGAAAGTTGCAGCCTGTTCTAGCCTCTCTTGGCAGACATTTATTTCATTCAATATTTTAGAAATAAATATATCCTATGTTACACAGGGATAACATAGCATTCTAATTGTGAAATATTTTGTAGTTTTTGTATGCATTTCTTACAAACAGAAAATTATAAACCTCTTCCTCCTATTACTACCTGTAACATTGTAACTGGTACATACCAAATATGGTACAAACTATAATGCTCCATGCCATATCCATACTATTAGTAGAACTAAGATTAAGGTTCTAGTTTGTATGGGTTAATTAAATTATCCATAGCAAAAATCATGTGTAACTCTTAAGATTAGTTACTAATATATTCATTAATGATTTAAGATTTCTTCAAAATTGGGGGACAGCATGTGTTTCCTATCTGCTATGGAAGTGAAAACGAGGAAGTGCGGTGTAGAGCCAGTTGACTGCTTGCAGAGTTGTGCCAAAATAATCGTTTCAGCCAGGCGCGCGCCTTGGAGAGTGGCTTGCTTGATTTAATCTTAGCTATGGTGACCATAGAACATGGTGAAGCTTTGGCCGAGTGTATTTCTGCTGTATCTAGTAAGTAATTGTAATTAAAATATAAGTATGGAATGAAGTCTTAGTAGAACATAGAATGTAAACCTCTAAAGTAACTCAATAAAAAAAAAATATAATTCCAGAATTACCACTTGCTTTGTATGATAGGCATGGAAGGCTGACCTACTTCTATATAAAGAAAATGATCAATGAAATGGATGCAGCAATTTTGTTCTCATATTACCCTATAAGACGTATATTTTTTCAAATACAGAATTAATTAATAAATCATTAAGTTAATCAGACGAAATTATTGCTGCATTTGCACACTCCAAAAATTAACAAGGTGGAAATGTTGGTTACATTATACATACCCAACAAAATATTACACAGAAATATAGCTTAGGAAGCTGACTCTCATCAACAAATCAATAGAAACCATTCAGGATCTTAAATTCTGTTTATTCACTATTTGCAGGTGCAACGCGTGAGTTTGAGCCCTCTTGCGCGGAGTTAACAGCGCAGGGCGGGTGTGAGGCTCTAGCAGCTGTGCTGGGTTCGGATGACGTGTCAGCCAAGACGAAGAGTGCCTCCCTTGTTGCCTACCTTTGTGGTCACTACACGCCTGCTAGAGGTATTACATTGTTTAAATCTATATTTGTCTATAAAATTTTGTATTAAATGTTTCAGCACTATTTATTCATAATTCACAGCTTTTTAAAAAATAGATAATATTAACCATTTTTAGAATTAAAATATGTATAGCCAAAACGGTTAACACCATATATACAACAAAAATTAGTATTAATATTTATACCACACTTATATAATATTCTGGTAGTGTCTTCTGTCTTATCTTTTTCTTGATCTTCTGTTTATTATGAAAATTGTATTGTATACTATATTACAATATAGTCCAACCATACAAAAATAGTATTAGTTGATAAATACACACGTTTATTTCTCCTTGATAGCCTGTGCTTACTTAGATATGTATTTATTATGTTGTCATGTAATAAAATCTGATTATTTTCAGAAAAATTTATAGAGCAAAATATTGTCCGCATTATCGCAAAACAGATTGAAAAAGGTGGGGATGATGCCACAGAGCATCTTTTAAGGATACTCTACGACCTCAAAAATGATCAGAGAGTGGTTCAACAGTGTCAGGATATCAATCTTAAGAAGATTCTAAAAGAGCATTTGAAAAATACAGAGAAAGATAATATTTTTTCGAAGGAACAACAGTATTGTATGGAGTTATTAAAGGTTATTGGTAGCTGTCCCCATGCTCAAGTTAAACAGAGTGAGGCCGATAGATAGATTTTTGTAGAACTTGGATTATTCATATTAACTTTAAGATATATTATAATCTTTAGCTTTACCGGTTGCAACCACCGCAAAGCATGTTACTAATATGTGCGTTTCTCTATTATCTATGTCAAGTGTATATTAGGTATTAAAACATTAAATTAATACTCCTTAATTAATGCCGTTAATGAAAACTACGAAATAAAAAATTAAATATTGAACGTTTTTTATTTCACGTATCACGCATAAAATATCAATAAATACAATTAATAACAACACATTCATCTACATTTTGAATATGATAAATAAACAACAAACTGTTTTCAATATGTACTACTTATTAAAGTTGTTTTTGTTGGTTACATAATAATCACTTCAACCACTTGAGTGATTAAGGCTATGTTCACATGTAACGCGCGTTAACGCGCGTCAACGCGCGATCAAATTTGAAGAGCGTTCAGATGATGAGCGCTAACGCGCGTTGCGAGAGTACTCGTCAGTCTAGTTCGGTAGAACGTAGAAAATGGACGTGGAAGAGGCTATTATTTTGTGGTTATATTATAAAGAAAAATATAGAAAAAGAAAACGAACACATTGGGTTTATCCAACTTTGAAAAAAAAATACAATTTATATTATATTTTTTATACAAATTTGCTATATTCCAACTTGCTGACCTTTTTTCTACTTCATCGATTAGTAAGTCGATGTCAATATCTTCAATTTCACTCATTTTAAAAGCGAGAACAAAATATAATTACGAAAATTAATAAAATTACATGCGATCGCGATGAAAGCGCGCGCTCATCTGAACAGCAAACGGACATTACATTAATATCAAAGCGCGCGTCAACGCGCGATCACCTGCGTCTAGAGACTTTTTCTCTGAGCGCCGCGTTAACGCGCGTTAACGCGCGTACATGTGAACAGTTGTATGAAAAATACCATAATCTCTAGTCGCGCGATTTGAAAACGCGCGTCAAGTTTTTGCCATCTGAACATAGCCTAAGATTACAGAATTATTTTAGTGATTAGGATTAGTTCATCAGATATTAAATTCTTTTTTAATTTATAGCAGCCGTCAGGCACTTAGGTTTTATTTAAAAAAATGGTCGACATAACAATTTTTGAATCAATTATTACTAATGTTTAGTTATCAAAACACAACCTCTTAATTTGTTCATAGAAGAATATTAAAAACCGACTGAGAACTTCAATAAAACAGCTTGGTTTAACTTACTATCAAGATTAATAACTGTTGTATAAGGCTATGTTCAGATGGCAAAAACTTGACGCGCGTTTTCAAATCGCGCGACTAGATATTGTGGTATTTTCATACAACTGTACAGAAAAAGTCTCTAGACGCAGGTGATCGCGCGTTGACGCGCGCTTTGATATTATGGTAATGTCCGTATGCTGTTCACTGTTCAGTTGAGCGCGCGCTTTCATCGCGATCGCATGTAATTTTGTTAATTTTCGTAATTATATTTATAACAAACTGGGTCTATTTTTAAAAATTGGATGAACCCAATGTGTACGTTTTCTTTTTCTATATTTTTCTTTATAATATAACCACAAAATAATACCCTCTTCCACGTCCATTTTCTACGTTCTACCGAACTAGACTGACGAGTACTCTCGCAACGCGCATTAGCGCTCATCATCTGAACTCTGTTCAAATTTGATCGCGCGTTGACGCGCGTTACATGTGAACATAGCCTGATCCCTCCTTGAATGTGTTATCGAAATTTTTCCAAAGTCGATATCAGTGTACCTTCACCAACTACGATTGTTGTGTTTGTTGCATTAAATTTTTCTATTGCTGTTTCAATTATGAGGATATCTGCGTCATATTGAGCTTGTTTCACTGCAATATTGGCAGCTGTTAATTTGTCACTTATGACTTAACATGGAAATGAAACGAGATTTATTATTAATGTTAGCGAAAAATTGTTGTTGATTCGCTGGAACTGACATAAATTCATCAAATATAATCTCGGAACCCGATGATCTTTTTGTAGTTCGACGACGTTGTTTTGCAGCTTTAATATATGTACTTTCACTGACCACTGTAGCCGTCAAATAGTATAATATCTATAAATTCGTGGAGGCGTTCTTTTCCGCGTCGATGAACGCGCCGGGTACCGCGTGGGAGTTTCCTCCTTTCGCGGGGTTTCATTATTTTCGCACCTCATTAAGATGAGGAGGTGATTGGATTGGGGGAGGCCCAGGTTGGTCCGGTATCTATTAATTTTGACAACCGGTTGAGTGGGTTGATCAAGCGTTTAAGTGCCAGATGTGGTAGCCTGCGGTTCCGTGCTAACAGCTAAGATTCTCCCGCGGGAAGCGGCGCTTGTGCTCAGGTAGTCGGGTGTGATGCGGCGCGATGTCAAACATGCCCCTTGAACTGTGGGTAGCTAAGTCCTCTATGTGGAGGTCCCTGGCGTACGCACCACGGGGCGTCGACGATCCGCCTTAGGGTATTGTTTTGGATCGCGTGCAGGCGCTTATTTTGTGAGTCTGAGGCGAGTGCTTACCAGGCCGGGGTCGCATAGGTCAAATGAGGGCGGACGTAGATTTTGAATAGGGCTACGTTCCGCTGGATCGGCATCTTAGAGTTGAACAGGGGGCGTAATATCTATAAAAGAGACACAAATAGGTATTTATACTTGTCTAAGTGCCTGATTATGTATATACGTGGCTTATATGAGCACGATAGTCATCACGATATCTCAGAAATAGTAACTCTTAGGAAAAAATTGTAAAGACCATTTTTGTATAGAATTTAAGGATCTACAACTTTAGCTTGGAACTTTTTTTTTTTGATAATACCGTTTTCGAGAAAAAATCATATTTGATCTTTGACCCCGAATAACTTTTGTAGCACACATATAATCGATGGGGATTTTTAAAACTTTAATTGTAATGGTAAACTCCAGCTCTCCACCAAAATTTAGCTTTCCGGGAATTTTTGTTATTTCAAATGTTGTTTCAAAATTGACCGGACTAAAAGCTCACAATACCAACCGTAGTAGGCTTGGCGTCTGTGTCAATATTGGTTACAGGCCCGCCACTGTCTCTTAAGTTTAAATCAATTCTTTATTACTATAACTGAGATTTATCTGGACTATTTTCATACCTGTTAAAGAAATTATAATTATATATAGAGTTTGTGCGGAAAGAGTTTGTTTTGTTTGTTTTTTTTACGTTATGTTTTAGTAAAATTATTATCTACGCATTATACTTAGACCGTAATCAATTAATAGTTAATATGATAAAAAAATTCAAAGCCTATATTTTTTGTAAATAAATGTAATGACGCATAGCAAATAAGAATTATATATACTGCTCAAAACAATAAGCGGAACAAGATTTTTCTCTTTTCTATTGCTTAAACTAAAATTAGATTTAAATTAACTGGTACGCTATTTTTTACCTTGTTAATTTGTTAATTACTACAATTAATAAAAAAAATCAATTTGTATTTTTTTTATTAAAAAAAAAATAAAATGTGTATTGTAGACGAAAAACAAAGTGACGTCTTTGAATTTTCATTACTTTCTAATCACAAAAAACACATTTTTAGAAATTGAAGTGAGCCTTTTGAGTATTGTTATTCATTGAAGCGAGTGAGTTTAAGTCATAATGCCAGATCTGACTGAATTGCATGTCTCCCGAGCTATTGAGCGCTTTGCTTGAAGAGGGTCGAACTATGCGTTATGTAGGAAATGATCTAGGAGTAGCCCCTTCTGTTATCTACAGACTTTGGAAGCGATACCGTGAGACGGGAGAATACTCACGAAGGCGTGGTCAAGGTCGAAAGAGAAAAACTACACGTTTGCAAGATCGCTACATCGTCAACTGTGCTTTACGTAACCGCACCACAACTGCAAGAGATCTACAAAATACACTAAGGACGGCTACTGGTGTAGAAATTTCCGACCAGACGGTAAGAAATAGGTTGTTGGAAGCCAATTTGAGATCACACCGACCAGTTCGGGCTGTGCGTGTGCTAACAATTCAACATAGACAAGCTCGCCGACAGTTCGCGCAAAATCACGCTAATTGGCAACTTCGACATTGGAGGCCAGTGCTTTTTACTGACGAATCACGATTCCGTCTAACACGTTGCGATGGTCGTCTCCGTGTTTACAGACGCCCAGGCGAGCGATACAGTGCAGCAGCAGTCCAGGAATATGACAAATTTGGATGTGGCTCTGTGATGGTTTGGGGCGGAGTTAGTTTGGACGAGCGCACAGATCTCGTCGTTGTTCCCGGGCGCTTGTGTGCTCAAACTTACATTGAAAATGTGCTCGAAGATCATGTTTGGCCCACAGCATATGGTATGGGCCCAGATTTTCTTTTAATGCAAGATAATGCCAGGCCGCATACTGCAGCCATCACGTCAGATTACTTCAGATTACTTACTTACTCCGTGTAATGGAGTGGCCTTCCATGAGCCCTGACCTAAATCCAATTGAACACATTTGGGACTTGCTTGACAGGCGCATCCGGAAGCGTCCGATTGCACCTCAAACACTGCATTAGCTCACTGAAGCGTTGATTGAAGAATGGGAGCGAATTCCACAAGAAGATATTTGGAGGATCATACGAAGCATGCCGCGTCGTTGTCAAGCCGTGATTAGGGCTCATGGAGGTCACACACGTTACTGAAAGTCACTAAAGACGAATATTCAAACGATATAAGAATATTTCTTTGATGGATCTTTTTTATCACCAATTAGTTTTTCGTCTACAATGCACATTTTAATTTTTTTTTAATAAAAAAAATACAAATTGATTTTTTTTATTAATTGTAGTAATTAACAAATTAACAAGGTAAAAAACAGCGTACAAGTTAATTTAAATCTAATTTTAGTTTAAGCAATAGAAAGGAGAAAAATCTTTTTCCGCTAATTGTTTTGAGCAGTATATATTGGTTCGCATAACCGCTATGGTTCTCTTTCCGGATAGACTCTATTTGTTGGTATTCTATAAACCTGTAGATATATAAAAAAATTGAGGATAGAGAAATTGTATTTATATAATACATAGTGTATACATTGTATATTATCGCGATACAGCTGCATAAGATATTGAAAACTATCAGTTCCATAAGCTTAGATAGACTGTTTCATTACATAAGCATAAAAAATGATTTGACAACATGTGAAAATTACAATATAACAAAAATCAAATTAAATTGTTTGATGAAGGTAATATGAAATTTTAGTTGATTTTAAAGAATGTCTACTATAAAATTAACAGGGTGCTGTCGTTGTCACTTTTATTGTACCGTCTACACTCTACATTAATGTGGGAACCTTAAGTTGGCGGGGGGAAATTAATTTTATGCACTTTTTTTTGGCTCTATCAACTGTTCGTTAACTGTTCTTCATTGTTCTATCAAAAAATTTTTTGTTCGTTCTTATTTATTTTTTTTTAATTATAAAAAAATTTACCCTCAATTTGGCACGAACTATAGATATTTTGATATTTTTTTGTTTTTTTCTAATAGTTTAGAACTATTCAATAACTGTTCGTTCAAAATAAACAACTGTTCGTCTTTCATTATCCTGTAATTTAATAATAATTAACTTTTTTTTATAAATTTTAATTAAATGTTATTGCGCATGCGCAGTATCAATGCGCATAGTTCTCATAAATTATGCGCGGCCTATTTGAATTCGATTCAAAGAGACAACACAACAATAACAGCAACAACAACAAAATCATCATCATCATCATCATCATCTATTAGTACCAGGAGGATAAGTTACTAATTAGAAACCTTGAACAAAATTCTTAGAAATCGTTTGATAGCTAGATAATAATTAAAACGCAAAATATCAATAAAGGTATATTTTCTCAAATTTAAATACTTAATGTAAAAAAGCCAGCCACATTATCTGCCTCCAACAGCTTGACAGACCTAGCGAGCCTGTTCGCTAGGTCTGTCAAATTGACTTGCTGTCATAATAATAATTAATAATTAAAAATATTGACTGAGAATGAAAAAGAAATTGGTTCTAGAATATATTGTATCAATATATAAATATATATAGGTCTACCAGGATCTGATGTCAAAAAGGGAAAAAAGAAATTGACGCTAGCAATACCGGGGAAATTGGAGTAAAACGTTTTGATACTTTATTTCCCTTATATCGGCTGATTGTGTGTGAAACATGCAAATATAAAAATTTATCCAATGATCAAGGATAATATTTGAAAATTTTACTGTGGCGAATGTGGGGTTTGAAATTTAGATGAAAACTCCAATTACTCCGTTCATGAGTTTATTCATTAATTATAGGCTATTAGAACTGAACTAGAAATGGTTCCAAATTCTGCACATCTATAAAAAAGTCTTTATATGAAGGAGAAGACGCAGTATTTAATATAAACCTATCCTCCTGCATCTCAATTAACGGATCTTGTTCTATGAACTGATTTTCAATTTTTATTACATGTTCACAAGATTTTCGCCATTCATCGATCCCTACTTGAGAGTAAGCTTCTTAAATCATTTCTCTGTTAAAAGTTTTATATCACTTGCAGGTCTATTGACGTTTTTACCCGCAAGTTTTTGTTTCATTAGTCCCCAGATTAATTCTATGGGGTTTAACGTACAATGTTATGGTGGGAGCCTCAAAACTTCGTGGCTGTGTGATTTAAAAATCTCATCTATCTGATATTTAGTTTTTTTTTCAATTCGAAATCAAATCTATCCAAGTTTTTTTTTGCCACCTTTCCTGTTTTTACCGGGCGTACTAAATACGCCCTTATTAGATCAGCCTTCGGCAACAATTCATTTTAAGGTAGTATTAGAAACCCCTGAAATAAACCAAAGTTTATATAAGTACATAATATAATACACACGAAAATCCAATAAACCAAAGTATCAAGACGTGTCATTCCTACTAACCACTCAATGTGCAAGTGACATGGGCTCAATATCGATGATTGTGTATGTTCTGCTGTCTGCACCTTGTTGATCAAGTATTCTTTGATAAACATTGAAAACAATATTTCTTGCTTGCGATCGAAGAGGTTTTTTCGACATTTTCACTACTTTTTAAAGTAAATTTGAAGCCAAACCAAAAACAATTCCTCGAAATTTCAGATGACAGATGAAATTTTTTTTTGTTGCCACATGCAAATCGCTAAGTTTTAAACTTTTTTTTGCCATCAGATTCTGGTAGACCTATAGTTTGCATGGGACTAATCCTTTTCAATTTTTCTCAATCAATATATTTAATCAGGAATGTTAAAAGAATGGATAAGTACAAGAAATACGACTTTAGATGTTAAGAAAGAGTTCATTTTGTTTGTATAAAATAACAAAATATAAATGAAAGTAAAAACCGGGTGATGATGATGATTTTGTTGTTGTTGCTGTTATTGTTGTGTTGTCTCTTTGAATCGAATTCAAATAGGCCGCGCATAATTTATGAGAACTATGCGCATTAATACTGCGCATGCGCAATAACATTTAATTAAGATTTATAAAAAAAAAGTTAATTATTATTAAATTACAGGATAATGAAAGCCGAACAGTTGTTTATTTTGAACGAACAGTTATTGAATAGTTCTAAACTATTAGAAAAAACAAAAAAATATCAAAATATCTATAGTTCGTGCCAAATTGAGGGTCAATTTTTTTATAATTAAAAAAAAAAAAATAAGAACGAACAAAAATTTTTTTTGATAGAACAATGAAGAACAGTTAACGAACAGTTGATAGAGCCAAAAAAAAGTGCAAAAAATTAATTTCCCCCCCGCCAACTTAAGGTTCCCCATTAATGTTCACTCATATTAAGAGAGAAATGATTGACTGTGAAAATAATGTCAGTTGACTCAGTTGTCTACTGACATCGAGTGAGATATCAGATAAGTCATTGTGTAATTGTGTATACTGTATACTGTATTGATTTTTCCAGAAGTACGATGAAATAAAAGTACATTTGCATGAACTTCATCATTTTAAATTGAAATTTCTATACATAGTTCTGATTATAGATTTATCATCAAATCCGTTTATTTATTGTGTTAAAACAATTAATTTCGAAATGGATCAGAATAAAGATGGGACTCGTGCACCAATACCAGGCACTTCCTCTGCTCCTATACGCATCAGAATTTTAGAGGTAAAATGATTAGTGACATTATAATTATTATAATAACCTTAATCTAAACATTTTGCTACTTTTTCTGAAATTTTCTTTATTGATTGCTTTGGACTGAAATATCTTTTAGAAACCCATTGTTTAAATTTCAGGATTTAATCAGAGCTCTTGAGGAACATGGTGCAAGTGCTGAAGATGCACTAAATTCTTCAGACTTCAGACCTATGGATGAAGAGGTATGTTATAATATTAATTTACTGTATGTTTCTGTTACAAGTTTTGTTTATCTTTTAGCAAATTTAATTATCAAATATCTTAACTATTTGTTAAAAATTAAGATAAAAATTCCAAATATTCATATGATATCTTATATCTCTTTTTGTATCACATTTCAGAGGGGGGAGGTTTTAGCAAATGTCTTCAAAGGTATAACAGTTACTGAGAGGAACATTTTGATCAATCCTATAAATGTATTGACTGATGTTGAAAAGATATATAGCATACAGCTTGGAGATGAGTTGCCTGAAGATGTTAAAACTGCATTTCAAAAAATCACGTCATACATGGTTTTAGATAGAGCTAATGGTAGGTGAATTTCGTAATATTTAATCATTTTCATCTCTTGCAATGGCTAATATTATGGCACATTCACTGATTAAAATCATAAAACAAATTACCTAAAAAGTATTAAGATGTTATTAAGATTACCTTAGTATTCATGTATTTAATATAACATATCCTGACAATTATGGTACTAATCTAATGGTCAGTTATATTATGCGACAAGCAGAATACAAAGGCTATGGCAAAAGACAATAAAAAATAGGTTGTTTACTGTATGCATCACTTACCCTTACGCCTTTAGTACACTTACGCAATCGCATGCGGCAGCGAAACGACGAAAAAACTGTAAGTTGTATGGCAATGTTTCGCATGTGTTTTGTCTCGCTCTATTATATAGCTAGATGAAATAGTTGCGTCCTTGTCGGTATTGTTTCGCAAGTAACTGCGAAATGGCTGTTACACAGACGCAGCCGTTTCGCTAGCGGAGTTTCGCATCGCAATGCGTCACCACGCGTTCTGTCAGTGAGGACAGAATTTCGCACAATGGAAGCCGAAAATATTGAATTATTATTAAATTTGATTCGAAATTATCCCGAATTATATTTAGTTGGGCATGTTAATTACAAAAATGCATACAAAAAAGAGGTGGCATGGAGGAAAATTCAAGAAAAGACGGGGATAGATGGTAAGAAATAAAGCTACAATGACATTTCCTTGCGAAAAAACTGCAGTGTACTAACGTTCCGCAGATATTTCGCTACCGCAATTATTTCGCAAAGACTCGCAGCCGCATACGAACGCGTAGGTGTACTAAAGGCGTTAAATGGAGAAAACTCGAACCACTTTGCAACAAGAAAAGATTCCCTGAGAACATATACATCACAGAAGACTACCCAAAAGAAATTCTAACTAGGAAAAAACTAAAAATCAAGAGGAAATAAGAAGGGCATAATAATCTGATAGTAAATGACAAACATCCAGGTATGAAAGAGAGGAAACATTAATAAAGTCACCCAAGCTGCAAGATAACACTAAACAATATTAGACAAGAACAAAAATTATTAAGACAAACACATTAGGATTTACAACACAACCATGAACTAACTTAACCTTAGACCTCAACAACCGATGACAATTACACAAATTTATAGACAGAAGCCTCTTCCAAGCTGGATAGCGTCTCTATGGGAGATAATGACCATAACCCTCCAGCACAATTTTGTGACGTAACACAACTGACAACTGTTTGAAAAACAAAACTGAAAAGATAGACAAACCCCTAAACTAAATATTAACATACACATAGTAACTAAATGTATTAAATCAATGACCTGACAAGCAGCTTCACTAATTAGAGAGTGCACTGTAAACTGATGAGATATCCAGCAAAATAAGAAGATTGGGAGATACAATTGAAGAGGATAGGGTGTACATATTTTACTACAGAGGCGAAACGGAAGGACAGTATGCAGTACGGGTGGGCAACAATTGTGAACCAGCCCAACCAAGTTTTTAGCAGAATAATAATCAAAAACACAGTAAAAAGGAAATAAACAGCATGTACATGTATAAATATATACATGTCAAAAGATGAGAAGGGCAAGCTTAAAGAAATAACCAGGGTTAGCAAAGAAATAAGCAAAAGTATGAAGAAAGACAGAGTTAGACAAATAAAGGAATGCATTAATCCCCACATAAGTAAAACAGGAGGGATTAAGAAAGCACTGAAGGAATTCCGAGAAACAGAATTGTAGATACCAATACTACTAGTGCTAGACAGGCTACTTCTAATTAATTTGCGATATTTGTTTTAAAATAAGTGTTGTTTGATTTTAAAAGAGTACCGAGAGTTTTTTACGCCGGCTTTCCGCCGTCTTAGCTGATGTAGCGATGCCTGCAGTTTCAAATTTAATGACGTGAAATAAGTGATAGCTGTATCTTATGTTCCATAATAAACATATTCTATTTTTTACTAAAAAACAAACACGATAAACCTGAGACCATAGAATTAAAGCCACAATACAAATATGGTTACTTTTATTTTTATATGGAAAGTTGCAGCCTGTCCTAGCCTCTCTTGGCAGACATTTATTTCATTCAATATTTTAGAAATAAATATATCCTATGTTACACAGGGATAACATAGCATTCTAATTGTGAAATATTTTGTAGTTTTTGTATGCATTTCTTACAAACAGAAAATTATAAACCTCTTCCTCCTATTACTACCTGTAACATTGTAACTGGTACATACCAAGTATGGTACAAACTATAATGCTCCATGCCATATCCATACTATTAGTAGAACTAAGATTAAGGTTCTAGTTTGTATGGGTTAATGAAATTATCCATAACAAAAATCACGTGTAACTCTTAAGAATAGTTACTAATATATTCATTAATAATTTAAGATTTCTTCAAAATTGGGGGACAGCATGTGTTTCCTATCTGCTTTGGAAGTGAAAACGAGGAAGTGCGGTGTAGAGCCAGTTGACTGCTTGCAGAGTTGTGCCAAAATAATTGTTTCAGCCAGGCGCGCGCCTTGGAGAGTGGCTTGCTTAATATAATCTTAGACATGCTGACCACAGAACATGGTGAAGCTTTGGCCGAGTGTATTTCTGCTGTATCTAGTAAGTAATTGTAATTAAAATATAAGTATTGAATGAAGTCTTAGCAGAGCATAGAATGTAAACCTCTAAAGTAACTCAATAAAAAAAAAATATAATTCCAGAATTACCACTTGCTTTGTATGATAGGCTGACCTACTTCTATATAAAGAAAATGATCAATGAAATGGATGCAGCAATTTTGTTCTCATATTACCCTATAAGACGTATATTTTTTTCAAATACAGAATTAATTAATAAAGCATTAATTTGATCAGACGAAATTATTGCTGCATTTGCACACTCCAAAAATTAACAAGGTGGAAATGTAACCACCCAACAAAATATTACACAGAAATATAGCTTAGGAAGCTGACTCTCATCAACAAATCAATAAAAATCATTCAGGATCTTAAATTCTGTTTATTCACTATTTGCAGGTGCAACGCGTGAGTTTGAGCCCTCTTGCGCGGAGTTGACAGCGCAGGGCGGGTGTGAGGCTCTAGCAGCTGTGCTGGGTTCGGATGACGTGTTAGCCAAGACGAAGAGTGCCTCCCTTGTTGCCTACCTTTGTGGTCACTACACACCTGCTAGAGGTATTACATTGTTTAAATCTATATTTTTCTATAAAATTTTGTATTAAATGTTTCAGCACTCTTTATTCATAATTCACAGCTTTTTAAAAAATAGATAATATTAACCATTTTTAGAATTAAAATATGTATAGCCAAAACGGTTAACACCATACAACAAAAATTAGTATTAATATTTATACCACACTTATATAATATTCTGGTAGTGTCTTCTGTCTTGTCATTTTCTTGATCTTCTGTTTATTATGAAAATTGTATTGTATACTATATTACAATATAGTCCAACCATACAAAAATAGTATTAGTTGATAAATACACACGTTTATTTCTCCTTGATAGCCTGTGCTTACTTAGATATGTATTTATTATGTTGTCATGTAATAAAATCTGATTATTTTCAGAAAAATTTATAGAGCAAAATATTGTCCGCATTATCGCAGAACAGATTGAAAAAGGTGGGGATGATGCCACAGCGCATCTTTTAAGGATACTGTACGACCTCAAAAATGATCAGAGAGTGGTTCAACAGTGTCAGGATATCAATCTTAAGAAGATTCTAAAAGAGCATTTGAAAAATACAGAGAAAGATATTTTTTCGAAAGAACAACAGTATTGTATGGAGTTATTAAAGGTTATTGGTAGCTGTCCCCATGCTCAAGTTAAACAGAGTGAGGCCGATAGATAGATTTTTGTAGAACTTGGATTATTCATATTAACTTTAAGATATATAATCTTTAGCTTTACCGGTTGCAACCACCGCAAAGCATGTTACTAATATGTGCGTTTCTCTATTATCTATGTCAAGTGTATATTAGGTATTAAAACATTAAATTAATACTCCTTAATTAATGCCGTTAATGAAAACTACGAAATAAAAAATTAAATATTGAACGTTTTTTATTTCACGTATCACGCATAAAATATCAATAAATACAATTAATAACAACACATTCATCTACATTTTGAATATGATAAATAAACAACAAACTGTTTTCAATATGTACTACTTATTAAAGTTGTTTTTGTTGGTTACATAATAATCACTTCAACCACTTGAGTGATTAAGATTACAGAATTATTTTAGTGATTAGGATTAGTTCATCAGATATTAAATTCTTTTTTAATTTATAGCAGCCGTCCGGCACTTAGGTTTTATTTAAAAAAATGGTCGACATAACAATTTTTGAATCAATTATTACTAATGTTTAGTTATCAAAACACAACCTCTTAATTTGTTCATAGAAAAATATTAAAAACCGACTGAGAACTTCAATAAAACAGCTTGGTTTAACTTACTATCAAGATTAATAACTGTTGTATAAGGCTATGTTCAGATGGCAAAAACTTGACGCGCGTTTTCAAATCGCGCGACTAGATATTGTGGTATTTTCATACAACTGTACAGAAAAAGTCTCTAGACGCAGGTGATCGCGCGTTGACGCGCGCTTTGATATTAATGTAATGTCCGTACAGTTGAGCGCGCGCTTTCATCGCGATCGCATGTAATTTTGTTAATTTTCGTAATTATATTTATAACAAACTGGGTCTATTTTTAAAAATTGGATGAACCCAATGTGTACGTTTTCTTTTTCTATATTTTTCTTTATAATATAATAATAATAATAATTTTTATTAATCAGACAAATACAGTCCATTGATTGATTAGTGAGTTAGTAACAATAGTTTCTTAAGATCCATGTTAGAGAATTAGTAAAAATAAGGAAAAAGTAGTTAAATAAAAACTATCAGGTACAAAGCCCTGCGGAGATGTCGGAGCAGTGTCGTAAATAGGGGCACTCCATTCTTTCGACTATCATCCGTAAGATGTTGCTGGAGCTGCCCCGCACCCGGCGCACCAAAGAAGCGCACCGCTTTCGCATAGTGGCGAAAAAGCAATCCACCCGCGCCTCTGCAAACATTCTTGATGCACTGCAGAAGCGAGGCAGCCCCAGCAACACCCTAAATGCGTTATTATACTGCACCCGAAGCGAGTTGTATGTTTGTCGAGTAAAACTGGCCCATAGGCTGCACGTGTAGAAGTTAGTGCAATATGCTCTGAATAATGTGACTTTTACGTCATGAGAACAACGTACAAACCTACGAGCCAGCATATTTGCTCTCACCGACAACGCTCTTCGTTCTCTCTCTATATCGCCATTATCTTTGAGGTCGGGGAGTAGGACGTGCCCAAGGTATTTAAACTTACTAACTCGCTGTAAAACACAGTTGTTAATAGTAACCGTCGGCACATTTTGTAGTCTCCTCCTCCCTGACTCAAACACCATCACTTGGCTTTTCTTGGCATTATAGATAAGACCATGGGATGCAGCATATTTTTCACAAATACCTAATAATTTTCTTAACCCGCAGACAGAAGCGCTAAGCAGCACCATGTCATCAGCATAGCTTAAATTGTTAAGGTTAACGCCATCTACGTTACAGCCAATTCTGGTGCCGGTTAACTCCTCTATCAGCTCATTTACATACAAGTTAAAAAGTATGGGAGAAGTCAACCCACCTTGCCTCAACCCACACCTATACGGATCCGACAGGACACCCTCCCAACGCACACTATTGACCTGACTTTTGTACCAATATTTAAGAATATTTATGGTATCCTGTGGTAAATGGATTTTTTCAAGTTTTTTCCAAAGCAGATCATAGGAAACAAGGTCAAATGCCCTGGACAAATCCAAAAAACATGCGAAGACAGGCGTCTTACGTTTAACATAATAGTTAATAGTATGCTTAAGACTCAAAATAGCACCATCTGTGGACAGCCCAGGTTTAAAACCAAATTGGTTATCGTGTGGCTTTATATATTTACTTGAGTGTTAAGCACACCATCAAACACTTTTGATATAATGGTTGCCAGAGATATAGGCCTGTAGTTATGAATATCGGCGAGATCGCCTGTCCTATTTTTAACTATTGGAACTACAATACTACTTATCATATCTCTAGGCATGTAACTATGCGCTATACAAGCATTAAATAGAAAAAATAGAACGCGAGGCAAGTGTGGGCCTGCAAACTTTAGATGCTCGATGCTGAGACCGTCGTGCCCCGGTGACTTACCTCTAACCATAGACTTTATAGTGCTATCTATTTCTTTAATAGAAGGTTTCAAACTTATGCCACCTTTACACTGGGTCACAGCATCTAGCCTCGACTGTGAGGGCCCAATCGGCGATTTAACTGTAAAGTAATTAGCAAATAGATCACCAATTTCCTTGGGCTCACACACTCCGTTGACACTCACTGGGAGGCCCGACTTATCTTTTAATCTATTAGTACATTTCCAAAAAGACCGAAAATCATTCTTAGCGTGATGAGCAGCCAAAATATCCATTTTTATTTGGTCTTCGTTATTTTGGCACCATCTCAAGCGTGACTTAAAAATTTTACGACTCAAAATCATTTCTTCATATAACTTTCCTTGTAAAGGCTTACCGTGCTCTAACCATAGGCCAAATTTTTGCCTGGCGTCTCTGTGATGCCCTTGTACATGCTTATTTCAATTTCAACCTACAATCGGTTTTTTCTTTTTTTGTACTGACTTACAAGTTTTAACAGAAGATGCCGAAAGGGCAAGAATAATATTGTCATATAGCTTATTAATTACTTTTCTATGACTAAGATTACTACATAGCTTATAACTACAATAACGAAATTCAGGAGGAAAGTCAATTTGTCTCAACCTGTCATGACATTCTCTCTGATACATTAATATTTGTTCATGTGTTCTTTCCCCCCAAACCACTGCATTATTATAGTTATTTAAATGTATTCGTTTTCTAACAACCATATCTAAATTACACTCAATAACCAGCGGCATGTGATCTGACCAAAAAACATCATACATGACATACACATTTTGAATAGTCTTCGCCGCGGCTTTTGTTACTAAACAATGATCAAGCCACCGCCGTGACCCGTTAGCATCACTTAAAAACGTGTACGTATCAGAAGTGACACCTAAGCATTCAATATCAAAGCAACACCATTCTTGCTCTCTTACAAAATTATCCATTTCATGATAAAAACGTTCATATGGATGAGCATTAAAGTCCCCTAAAATGTATGTATTTTCTATCGCACAACTGTCTATTATAGCACTTACCGAGCTAAGGACATCCGTAAACTCGGCTACATTTACCGCCTCGTCCGTGGGCATATAAACACTTAGCACTAGGAATGGCTTATCATTTGAGATCACTTTAATCGCACACACACGCGGGTTATGACACTCAATCACTGAGACATTTTGAAAGATGCTCTTTCTCCAGAGCAGGGCAACACCTCCGTATGGCCGACCTCTTAGTAAGCCAGCCTCCGCATCCATTGACGATACCCCCGTGCCACTGAATTCTTGACTTATGGTACTAAGAAGTGGCATCTCCTCCGAGAATAACCATGTTTCTTGCAATGCTATAATATCGACAACTTTACACAAGTAACGTAAGTCATCGATGGACCGTTTTACGTTCTTACAATTGAAAGAAGCAAATTTATACGTTGGTTCCAGGTTCATAATATTAACGTATGGAAATCGTGCTGCCTTCCTTAATAGACATTTCAAACTTACGCTTTATTTTGAAGTGAATAAAGCGACGGAAAATGATGCCTTCTGGCCACATTCCATGATCCAAATAAACTGAAAGTTTTTTCTGTGAGACAAAGAATTTAAAAGCATTGTAGTCGCAAGTGCGCTTTATGGAGATCTTTTCTAAGCTGACAGTGTCTCCAGTTTTTTCCTTAATATAATTTATTATGTCCGACTCATTTGTACTTTTGTGGACATTCGTTATGAATAGAGGTGTTTTTCTTTCTGCAGCTCTAAACAATTCCTCCGAATTCACTGCCAGCGTACCCGTCTTTCCCTCCATTCGATTTCTATTAGGTTTTCTCCTTCTTTGTACAACTTTCCATTCTGAGTTGATGGAATTAGCGACAGCGGAGTAAGTCTTCTTATTTTCAGTGTCGTTAATAGCAACGGCGGATCCAGGGGGGGGGTCATGGGGGTCATGACCCCCCCCTGAGCAGGACTTAGGTGGACCACTAATTGAACATAATGATTTTATATATAAATTTGTCACCATACAGATTATATGTAACTACATACCTTCAATATTTAATTAATTTAATATAATATAATAACATCATACATGATGGCAAACGTTTGGGAATGAACGCATCGAAAATTTGAATTTTCCGCGCCACACTTGCGCGCGCTTGTCGCTATGAAACATCTAGCTAGACCTTACCTCAATCGGAATCGGAACGACTAAACTTCAACATATCATAACATAGTCCTATTTTAAATTGTGACATCAATATGTATATAGGAAAATTGGATACACTACCCTGTCACCGAAGCGACAGCAGAAAGGTCTTTCTCTACGTTGCGCAGAATTAAATCTAAGATCTTCAATGGTTGAAGATCGCCTAACCGGACTGGCACTTCTCCACGTTCATGAAAACGTACCCGTTGACGTAAATGACGTAATAACGCGTTTCGGAAAAACAGGCTAAAGAAAAATTGATTTAGTTATTAAAATATATGTATTTTGTCTGTTTCTATTTTGTTTGATGGAATCCCTTGTCGTACCATCTCTTCACTTTTGCGAAGTTTAGCATACTCGACATACTTCTAGCTGTTATGACAAATCATTCACCACGGTTATGTAATATAAATAGGCTGCCTCATTCCGTACGTGATAGTCAGGCCGAGCTAAGCTGTAAAGGCCCTAAAGGCCAACAGCGAGATTCCACTTCAAAAAAAAACGTGATAGTGTTTCTCTGGATGTCTTCAAGAGAAGATGGTAATATGTACGTGTATACAGGTTGGTCCAACTATTGACGTCAATAATTTTTTTTAGATTACTCACACCTGGGGGTATACTAAAATACCCCATGTATGTTCCGCGATTTTTTGTAGTTTTCGAGTTACCTATACATTTTTTTGTGTTTTCTGCCAGCGAGGTTTCAAAAATTCATATCTTTTTTGTTGTAGGTATTTCGCAGTTTTTTTTCTGTTAAATGATTGCCTTAAATGATGTTCAAGTAAAAAAAATCCCAGCTTCTTAAAATTAGTTAAAGCTACTCAAAAAAGTTTTTAAAGTTAGAAGTTTATTAAGTGGATTTGACCAAACATTCGACTTCAATTTAAAAATACAAAAAGAAGTTTCCATAGCTTCTAGCTAAGTTTAAAAACTCCACAGGGTTCTAAGCTACCAAAATCATAGAAAAAGAATGTTACTACTACTACTAATTGGTCTTTTTTTGTTGTAATCGGTGGATTTTTTTTTGGTGGATAGGCTAAAAATCATTGAAGCATTAAAAATGTTTTTTTTCGACTTATTATTCTTATGGTAAATTAAACTTAATAATGTGGTTTTTTAATTAATTTTAATACCCGTAAAATAAATGTAGCTGTAATCGGCCTTTTCATGTCAATAGGCAAAAAATCATTGAAGCATTAAAACTGTTTTTTTTTTTTACTTTTATTTTTCTTATGGCAATACTTTATGATATATTTTTTACTAATTTTAATACCCGTAAAAAAAGTAGCACGTGTAATTCTTACAATAATTTTGGTCTTACCACTCAAAATTCAAAATGTTATTCGAAATGATTATTGCTAGTTGTGAAATTACATGTTTTTTAAATAACAAATAAAAAACACAATTTACTGAAAAAATAGTATTTCTAATATATAAAATTCTCGTGTCGCGGTGTTTCGACACTCGAACTTCGTTCGAACTTCTCCGGAACGGCTTGACCGATTCTCATGAAATTTTGTGTGCATATTGGGTATGTCTGAGAATCGGAAAACATCTATTTTTCATCCCCCTTAATGTTAAGGGTAGTCCACGCCTAAATTATTACTTTTTAATTTTTAGATAAAGTTTTTATTTTTTCATGATACAACATTAAAAAATACATACAACCCCCAATTTTCACCCCTCTATGATCAACCCCTATTTTTTATCATACATGGCAAAACGACGTTTGCCGGATCAGCTAGTATTATAATTTTCTATGATTTTGGTAGCTTAGAACCCTGCGGAGTTTCTAAACTTAGCCAGAAGCTATGGAAACTTCTTTTTGTATTTTTAAATTGAAGTCAAATGTTTGAACAAATCCAGCTAAAAACTAAACTTCTAACTTTAAAACCTTTTTTGAGTAGGTAGCTTTAACTAATTTTAGGAAGCTGAGATTTTGAAAAATTATTGATGTCACTAGTTGGACCAACCTGTATGTACACAATATTATGTGTTAAGTTTTTCAAGTGTACAATAAAGAATAAATATTGATAAGTGCAATACTTACGTACATTAATAAAATACCTACTTTTTACTTGTATCTATTGTTATCAAAATTAAATTATAAGTTCTTGACTTGACCACGACTATGTGACCCCCTCCTGGCACCAAAGCTGGATCCGCCCTTGGTTAATAGTTTGTTGACGGTCTGCACTTAGTGAGTCATCACTACTTTGCGCCAAACCGGTTTCATTCATTCGAGGCGATAGATTCACTTGAGGCGATAAATTTCTAGCAGAGTTATTACCCGGACTAGAATAATCATCATCATTATGCGCATTCCTATTGTTACCGAATGCACCCCTCTTCGTATTAACATTATTATTATAAGTACAGGGTGAGGGTACCGTAGTATTTTGTTTATTACTGCACAATGTTCTTAAGTTTTCAAACTGCTCAGTCGTGACATACGATGACTTGATCAATGCGATATCAGCCTGTACCCTGGACAAATCTTTCAATAGCTTTGAGACATCCAGGTGGTCGAAAGTTAATGGCGGTAGTTTATCCAGGTCGCGGGCCACAAAAATAGGCAAAACATCAGGGTCAGTAATTTTAATAAAACTGAGCATATCATATAACAAACGATCTTTTTCCTTTCCTTTTCCTCTTCTTCCCGTTTTTCTCACTTCGGCCGGTACCGATTCAAACAATAACGAATGCGATTTTTGAATTTGTTCCTTTGTGAATGTCGATGCACATATTTTTACTAATGTCACCTCATCCGATATCGATATTTTATTCTGTATATATGACAGAAGCTCATCGATTACAATATTGCAATTATAGCACTTAATTAAGGACGCCATCTTGCAGGGAATGCGCTCCCGCAACAAATCGTGCGTACGTTTCGTATCAATGCGCGCGCAAGACTGAAGAAGATATAACCACAAGATAATACCCTCTTCCACGTCCATTTTCTACGTTCTACCGAACTAGACTGACGAGTACTCTCGCAACGCGCATTAGCGCTCATCATCTGAACTCTCTTCAAATTTGATCGCGCGTTGACGCGCGTTACATGTTATGCGTTACATGTGAACATAGCCTGATCCCTCCTTGAATGTGTTATCGAAATTTTTCCAAAGTCGATATCAGTGTACCTTCACCAACTACGATTGTTGTGTTTGTTGCATTAAATTTTTCTATTGCTGTTTCAATTATGAGGATATCTGCGTCATATTGAGCTTGTTTCACTGCAATATTCGCAGCTGTTAATTTGTCACTTATGACTTAACATGGAAATGAAACGAGATTTATTATTAATGTTAGCGAAAAATTGTTGTTGATTCGCTGGAACTGACATAAATTCATCAAATATAATCTCGGAACCCGATGATCTTTTTGTAGTTCGACGACGTTGTTCTGCAGCTTTAATATACTTTCACTGACCACTGTAGCCATCAAATAGTATAATATCTATAAATTCGTGGAGGCGTGCTTTTCCGCGTCGATGAACGCACCGGGTACCGCGTGGGAGTTTCCTCCTTTCGTGGGGTTTCATTATTTTCGCACCTCATTAAGATGAGGAGGTGATTGGATTGGGCGAGGCCCAGGTTGGTCCGGTATCTATTAATTTTGACAACCGGTTGAGTGGGTTGATCAAGCGTTTAAGTGCCAGATGTGGTAGCCTGCGGTTCCGTGCTAACAGCTAAGATTCTCCCGCGGGAAGCGGCGCTTGTGCTCAGGTAGTCGGGTGTGATGCGGCGCGATGTCAAACACGTCCCTTGAACTGTGGGTAGCTAAGTCCTCTATGTGGAGGTCCCTGGCGTACGCACCACGGGGCGTCGACGATCCGCCTTAGGGTCTTGTTTTGGATCTCGTGCAGGCGCTTCTTTTGTGAGTCTGAGGCGAGTGCTCACCAGGCCGGGGTCGCATAGGTCAAATGAGGGCGCACGTAGATTTTGAATAGGGCTACTTTCCGCTGGATCGGCATCTTAGAGTTGAACAGGGGGCGTAATATCTATAAAAGAGACACAAATAGGTATTTATACTTGTCTAAGTGCCTGATTATGTATATACGTGGCTTATGTGGCACGATAGTTATCACGATATCTCAGAAATAGTAACTCTTAGGAAAAAATTGTAAGAACTATTTTTGTAGAGAATTTAAGACTACAACTTTAGCTTGGAACCTTTTTTTTTTGATAATACCGTTTTCGAGAAAAAATCATATTTGATCTTTGACCCCGAATAAATTTTGTAGCACACATATAATCGATGGGGATTTTTAAAACTTTAATTGTAATGGTAAACCCAGCTCTCCACCAAAATTTAGCTTTCCGGTAATTTTTGTTATTTCAAAATTGACCGGACTAATAGCTCACAATACCAACCGTAGTAGACTTGCCGTCTGTGTCAATATTGGTTACAGGCCCGCCACTGTCTCTTAAGTTTAAATAAATTCTTTATTAATAATATAACTGAGATTTATCTAGACTATTTTCATACCTGTTAAAGAAATTATAATTATATATAGAGTTTGTGCGGAAAGAGAACTTGCGTGGGATTTGATGTCGCAGCAGTGGTAAGTTACCATTGTTTTTTTTTTACGTTATGTTTTAGTAAAATTATTATCTACGCATTATACTTAGACCGTAATCAATTAATAGTTAATATGATAAAAAATTCAAAGTCTATATTTTTTGTAAATAAATGTAATGACGCATAGCAAATAAGAATTATATATATTGGTTCGCATAACCGCTATGGTTCTCTTTCCGGATAGACTCTATTTGTTGGTATTGCATAAACCTGTAGATATAGAAAAAAATTGAGGATAGAGAAATTGTATGTATATAAATACATAATGTATACATAATACATATGTATAATCGCGATACAGCTGCATAAGATATTGAAAACTATCAGTTCTATAACCTTAGATGGACTGTTTCATTACATAAGCATAAAAAATGATTTGACAACATGTGAAAATTACAATATAACAAAAATCAAATTAAATTGTTTGATGAAGGTGATATGAAATTTTAGTTGATTAAATCAATCAAAATCAACTTGATTTTAATGAAAGTAGACTATAAAATTAACAGGGTGCTGTCGTTGTCACTTTTATTGTGCGTTTTCAAATTACAGAGCATAATGCGACTCAGTGCCGCACAATGCCGCATTATGCTGAAGCTTGATTGGAACGTGAATTAGTTTTCAAATGCATCAGCAGAGTGCGCTAAATCAGTGTTGAAAAAAAAAAATGGTCTGAATGAGCTAGCAACCTCATTAATGTTAAAATAATGTGGTAAACAATAATAACTGGTTGAAAACTATTTACGCTTATTTTAATAATCAAATTATTTCATTAACATTTTTTTACTGAAATAAGAGAAAACCTTTAAAGAATATAAGGTTTTAACAAGCTAAAATAACAGTAAAATATTTAGTTTCATGTAAGAAGTTTACATCATTTACGTTTTGAGTAATTTTTTTAAATGATTTCTAAAATCAATCACAACAAATCAAATCACTTTTTCAAAACCATTGCAATGTTTACAAAAGTATAATCCTGTAAAATAAATTTGTTTACAGATCCGAATATTAAAATGAAATTGTATTCATATTTAAAATGTGGAATATAAAAATTTACCATTTATACCTTCATCCATACTTATATTTATTTTTTTTAACCGTTTGAAATAACTTTAATTATTTTTAAAATCTACGACGAAACGAAAGCCTTACAATTTTTTCAACAATAAATAATATTTACTAACGAAAATTTCGATAAATACCAACTTAAAGAAAAATACTGGTCAATTTTCTGTCTATGCGCTATATCAAAATGCGCTCTAGTGCTGTAATTGGAAAACGCACAATTATTTCTCTCTTAATATGAGTGAACATTAATGTAGACGGTACAATGTGCGTTTTCCAATTATAGCACTAGAGCGCATTATGCGGCATAATGCTCAACGTTGAATGTCCCAACTACAGCAACGCTTCGCACAATTGAGCACTCTCAAAACGAATGCTCTCGCGTGCTTCTCGCAAACAATACCAACACAGTGACAGAAAATTGACCAGTATTTTTCTTTAAGTTGGTATTTATCGAAATTTTCGTTAGTAAATATTATTTATTGTTGAAAAAATTGTAAGGCTTTCGTTTCGTCGTAGATTTTGAAAATAATTAAAGTTATTTCAAACTGCTAAAAAAAAAATATTAGTATGGATGAAGGTATAAATAGTTACTTTTTATATTCCACATTTAAAATATGAATACAATTTTATTTTAAAATTCGGATCTGTAAACAAATTTATTTTACAGGATTATACTTTAGAAAAAATTGCAATGGTTTTGAAAAAGTATATATTTTTTTTAGAAATCATTAAAAATATTACTCAAAACGTAAATGATGTAAACTTCTTACATGAAACTAAATCTTTTACTGTTGATTTAGCTTGTTAAAACCTTATATTCTTCAAAGGTTTTTTATTATTTCAATTAAAAAAATGTTAATGAAATAATTTGATGATTAAAATAAGCGTAAAAAGTTTTCAACCAATTATTATTGTTTACCACATTATTTATACATTAATGAGGTTGCTAACTCAATTCATAACATTTTTTTTACAACACTGACTTAGCGCACTCTGCTGATGCATTTGAAAACTAATTCACGTTCCAATTAAGCTTCAGCATTATGCGGCATTGTGCGGCACTGAGTCGCATAATGCTCTGTAATTGGAAAACGCAAATTGACTGTGAAAATAATAATCAGTAGATAAGTGACAACTGACATTTCAGTGACGAGTGTGAACTATGATGTGATAAGTGATTGTGTTTTGATTTTTCCAGAAGCATGATGAAATAAAAGTACATTTGCATTAACTTCATCATTTTAAATTAAAATTTCTCTAAATAGTTCGGATTATAGATTTATCGTCAAATCCGTTGAATCATTGTGTTAGAATTTATAGTTCTTGAAGTGTGGAGTAACCTAAAGTAAATATATCCCTAAGCGAAAACTTTGTGTTAAAACAATTAATTTAAACTATAAATTTCGAAATGGATCAGAATAGTGATGAGACTCGTGCATCAATAGCAGGCGCTTTAATGCCAGCTCCAGCTAACCCCACTGAAACGTCCTCTGCTCCTGTACGCATCAGAAATTTACAGGTAAAATAATTAATGACATTATAATTATTATAATAACCTGAATCTAAACATTTTGCGACTATTTCTGAAATTATCAAACTTTTCTTAATTGATTTCTTTGGACTGACATATCTTAGAAACCCATTGGTTAAATTTCAGGGTCTACTCAGGTTTGCAATGGAAGCTACAAGAGCTGAAGATGCACCAAATTCTTCAGACTTCAGACCAATGGATGAAGAGGTATGTTATAGTATTAATTTACTGTAAGTTTCAGTTACAAGTTTTATTTGTGTTTTAGCATATTTAATTATCAAATTTCTTAACTATTTGTTAAAAATTGGGTTTAATATTCCAAATATTCATATGATATTTTATATCGCTTGTATCACATTTCAGAGGAGAAAGTTTTTAGAAAATGCCTTCAAAAGTATAACGGTTAATGTGGTAGAGATTTTGATGGATGCTATAAAAGTATTGACTGATGTTGAAAAAATAAAAAGCATACAGCTTGGAGATGAGTTGCCTGAAGATGTTGAAACTGCATTTGAAAATATCTTGTCATACATTGATGATTTAGACGTAGCTAATGGTAGGTGAATTTTGTAATATTTAATAATTTTCATTTCTTGCAATGACTGATATCATGGCATATTCACTGATCAGAATCATAAAACAAATTACTTGAAAAATATAATGATGTTATTAAGATCTTAGTATTTATATATTTCAATTCAATTCTTGTTGTGGCTTTTATTTGTGCCAACAGGGCACAAGGTACTTCGCCAGTGTCATGTAGATAAGGAAGGCACGAAGGAGATTGATTGGTGAAAATAATAATTAAGTTAATTTGGAATATGCACATAAAAAAAAATAGTTGAAATTCGATTGTTAGTTTTAAAACAGCACAGACAACAGAAATATGAGTAATAACATTATTATATACTATTTCCTATTTATAAATTATTTATATATATATATATATTATACTTTCATTTTATGGCTTTCTATATATTTCCATAAAAATCTACAATATGGACTAAACACAAACATTTAACCCTTAAAGGACAGGGGAGATTAGGGGGAAAAACTCATAGTCATAGAGAGGATAGGTTAGTTTGGGACAGTTAATAGTATGTGAGATACAGTGCCTTCATCCAAGCCACACTCACAGATAGAGTGATCCCTTATCCAGAGCTTGGCTAGATGAACAGGGGTGCAAGCACGACCAAGATGCAGACGTGAGATTGTGGATGTCATCCAGCGATTTGCATTTGGATAATGACCAGGGTTGTCTTCGTATGTTTGGTTGGATGGAAGCATAAAACTTACCCTTAACCAATTTGGAATCATTCCAAAATGTCTTCCAGGTACTGTCCAGATATGTCCTTGCAAGAGCACAAAGATCCTGTGCTGAATTTTTAAAATGATCTAGGGAACCTGACTCAACAGCTGATTTGGCCCATGAATCAGCATTCTCTTTTCCATTAGTATAATGGGAAAACATGATTTGCTGCGAAATGGGTTTTCTTTAATGGACATTATACAACTTAAAGAGTATGTCAAAATAGCTGTCTGTTGTATGTTATGGGAGTGTGCAAACAGGATTGCTTCCAGTAGAGCAGTGGCCTCTCCTGTGAACACAGAAGACTGAGGAGGACATTTAAATTTCAGGATAATTCTATACCAAGGAACCCAACAGGCAGCACCAACACAGCCATCTGGAGACAGCTTTGATGCGTCAGTGTAAATAAGATGATTTGACCAATTTTGATTAATATAGATTTGTAATTTGATGTTGGTCCTCCTTTGATCAGACCAAGGTCTGTGATGATGGAAGGTTTGAATACCAGGGCTTTATAAGGAGTAGAATATAGGGCATTTGTTGGAAATTATATCAGGGGGTTAGGGAGGCTGGTGTACTTTAGATAACTAGCAGATAGGAAGAGGAGTTGCGGGTGCAAGGAGCATGTGATAGTCAGGCTAATCGATGCCAAAGAGGCAGGGATGATAGCTGTAACATCTTGCTAACAAAGTGGTATTATATAGTAGGATACACTCAACCTGCAAAGCATTAGTGGGGGAGGATTTCATTGTACCTAGAATGATTCTAAAGGCCGGGTTATACTACAGCCACGCCGCGTGTCGCGACGCGTGGGATTGCGATCGGTTACATACATTTAGTATGAACGTGGTTACATTAACCCAGCCCCGCGTGTCGCCGAGTGAGCTGACGCCACGCAGATCGCTCGATTTCGATCGGCGTGGGCTCGGTAGTGGGGGAAGTGTCCCGTTGGATCGCTCTGCGCTAGTATAATCGCCACGTGGATACGCGCATTTGCGCATTCCGGCGTGTTGACGAGCAAGCAAGCAGACATCTACCACATTTTAGAGCGCGCGCAAGATGTCCGCTGACGAACTTATTGAGCTAGTGAGAGAGTATAAATTTTTATATGATCCTAAAAATAAAGATTATAAAGACCATTTGATAAGAACAGCAGCGTGGGAAGAAATAGGCCAACAATTTTTTTTTCTTCTTGAGTTGGCTTAACATAAATAGGCAGGCAATATCTTCTTCAAGATCCGTATCTGAGTCGGAAGAGAACATTGTAAATAGATGCGGACGTTTACGCGGTCACCACTGAACTGACACAAAAATGAATCAGCACGCGCGGCGACACGACACTGTAGTATAATCACCAGCCCGTGCGTCAGGCAGCGTTGCGACACGCGGCGTGGCTGTAGTATAACCCGGCCTTAAGGCACCTATACTGAATTTTGTTTAGTTTCTCAGCAGCTGATTTGTTAAAGGGATCCAGAACAAACATACAGTAATCTATATGACTACGTACTAAGGCATTACACAATAACTTTAAAGAATAGGGGTGAGCGTAAGTTTTTCACATTTTTTGATAATGTGTTCAGAATGGACAATTCCGTTCAGCAGGTTGTCTAAATAAATACCTACAAATTTTGGTTTATTTGTCAGGTTGATTGCTTGATTCACAAATGAAATGAGTAGAGTGGGAATGTATCTCTTCCTTGAAAACACCACTGCCCTGAGATTTGCTCACTGACAGGGACAAGCCGTGGTCAGACAACCACTGGCCTAGATAATACAAAGCAGAATTGATACGACAGGATACTTCCCTTACTTAAAATATTACAAAAACTGCTATAGAGCAGAGGACTGAGAACTGAGCCTTGAGGGAGACCTTTCCATACTAGTCTGGAGGGAAGAGAGGTATTCTGATGCTTTATCAGAATAGATCTGCAAAATAGCAGATAACATATGAGATGTACCATCCTCGAAGGTACACTCAGCTTAAGCAGTTTCTGCCTGAGCGCCGGAAGTAGGAAATTGTCATATGCAGAAGCAATATCAAGATACACACCCACAAGGTACTCTCCTTTTGTAAAGGCTAGAGCGAATGTCTGTTGTCAGTATACTGAGGCTGTCTGTGGTACTCATACCCTTCCGGAACCCAAATTGGGGGGAGGGGAGAATATTTCTACTTTCCATTAACCATTTCAGTCGGTTTTTAAGAAGGTGTTCTGTTACTTTAGCTAAAGTAGATGACAAAGCTATGGGTCGATATGAATTTGAATTTGAAGGGTTTTTTCCAGGTTTGAGAATGGGAATGACTATTTGAGATGTCGAAGATGTCAGTATAATACCAGTTTCAATTTATTTTTAGGTAGTAAAGTTTAGCTTTGTCATTTGGTTTAGCTTTGTCATTTGGTTTAGCCAGGAAGGAATATGGAACGCCATCTTCCCCTGGAGTTGAAACTTTGAGACCATTAAGAGCAATTAGAAACTCGGAGAAAGAAAAGAGAGCATCCATTTCATCGGTAGCTGGAGCTGGCGAAGAACTAAGAAATGAGTACATAGAAACGAAAGGTGGAGCCAGTTTGTCTGCAAAGTTGTTAAGCCAGTCAGAAGGTTTATTTGAAGAAGGATTAACATGGTTCAGGGAACGACGGAATCTCCTAACATTTGACCACACAATAGTTGGTGGAGAGCGAGGGCTAAGGGATTCACAAAATTGTATCCAACTAGATCTTTTCTTTTTGGATACTAACCTTTTAATTTTAGCATCAAGCTTCTGATAATTATTAAAGTTCTTCTGAGACATACAGGCTGAGTAAGAATTCTCTGCAGCCGTTCTCTTATCAAACAAATCGCTGCATTCATCATCCCACCAGGGGGAGGAAAGCAGCTGATTTTTAGGAGAGTGCTTTTTGGGGATCTGAGAATCGGCCGTAGATGAGAGGGGAGAGAATTTAAAAAAAGATCATAGCAAGACAAGACATTTTTTCACATTCCAAATCCGGCAGAGTGTCTACCATGCAATCTACGGATTGGGATTAATCTTTCCAGTTTGCTTTATGATTAAATATTTTAAAAGGGGGTTGTGGTAAGAGGGGGCTCACCCCCCTCTCACCAATTTGTTGTTTAATGAAATAATTATAGGAAAATGATCACTGCCATAGGTGAACTCAAGAGTGTTCCAAGTTAGTTGCGAGGCTAGGTTAGAGGAGCAGAGGGTGATATCCACTGTAGATTTGGGATTCTGATTAGGGTATACCCTGCGAGTTGGAGAGCCATCATTTAGGAAGCAGAGATTGACATCGTCGAGTCCTTTTTCATTTTTCTTAATCTTTAATTCGCCCGTGTAGGCACGTGTATTGTATGGATACTATATGAGCTTGTCGACATGCATGCCCAAGCACGCGCCCGGCCGCGTGCCCGTGACTGCCCCTCCCCCGTTACGCACGGCTGATTTTCACCAGTGTTGTATGGCAGTCTATCGGGGTGTGTCGACGTCACTCGCACATTCGTGACCCTTATATACGCTGTTTCGCGATTTTATTATAAAATGAAATAAATCAAGAATTATTAATTACGTTGATTCAAGAAAGGCCTGTAATATGGGATAAGACCATCGACATTATAAAAATAAGCGGCTTAAATATGATTCCTGGAAAGAAATATTTATTCATTTCCAGCCCACATTTGAAGATTTAAGTGGTGATAGAAACAAGTTTGGTAAGTTACAGATATTTATTTTAACTTTTTACTTATATAGTTGTTTGATAGGAGAGGACCTTCTAGATACAATATTGTCAAATCTTTCAACTTCATTACCCCAAACTTCCAACTGCATTCGTGATAGGTAACTGATTAGTTCCGATTCTAATCAAGGGTGGATCATTTTCACTCCATTGTAAACTGAAAGTTTTCCTCTTATGTATAAAATTTTCAAAAACAACTTTTTCACAATATCAACTCCAACATAACATTCATTGGCCGGTGAAAAATTCCCATTTATTGATAAAATCCAAACCCATTCAACAAATCTTCGCCTCTTTGAGTCTGTAGTTAAATGTACGTTTTAATTGATCAACATACCACCATACGAACAAGTATAATGCAACAAAGCTTCTCCCACACCATATGGCAAATCGTATCAATTCCACAAACGTGTTCTCGTAATTTATCCGTTTTTTTAAATTTTTCCAAAATGGGTCTCTACACACTATCACACTCTTCCTACCCAATCAACAAATATAAAGTTGTAATCCTATCTACTACTCCATCAAAACTATAGAAAAAAATGTTTGTAATTTAAAAACATCACTATCAATTGGCTTAATAAGTCTGATGTGTTTTCCATCGACCGCTCCTAACACAGCGGGAAGTTGGAAGATTCTTGAAATTTGCTTGCAATTGTAGCCAGTCTTCTTTAGATGGCATTTTCATATATTCTTTATAATTCTAACCAAATTAGTCATACTTCACGTACATCAACTTATGGTTTTTATTCCAATTCTATAGCTGTAGTATAGGTCAGTAAAGGTATCTCCTTTCTAGATACCTAAATTGAAACAAAACGTTCAGGTTCAAATACTAAAACCATTTAGGTCGGGGTCGATTCAGTTAGGTCGGGGTTTTCATAAATTTTGAATTTAATAATTATTATTTATTTATTTTCAGGGAAAATGGTGATGAAGAAGTGACATTGAAAGATAGCTGATAAAATATGACAAAAAAATTAATGAATGTAAGTTGTTCTTCACAAAAAAATAAGAAATTATGTTCTATGATGAAATGATGTTCCTAAAAAAATGTTGAGCATCCAAGACCGATTCTACATGATACATGTTCATGATTCTAGCCTCATATGAAATTTTGATATGCATCCCAATCAATCAATCATCCTGAGTGAGAGAAAGGGCTAAAAAAAAGAAAAAATGAACTAATAAGACATTAGGTTTATGAAGTTTTGGATTCAGCAGAACGAGATGAGAAAAAGAAAACCTATATGAACTTTTTTGGGAATCGCTGATACAGGACAAGTTCATATGAAATATGTACTTTCAGTTCAATAATTTCAATATTAAAATATTCAACGTTCTCAGTTATACCTACATCAAAAACCAATGGAGCAGGATATTTAGTGTACACATCCTCAATCACTACATATGGATATTCTACACCTAGATCGAGCTATGGAATAAGTCGTCCACAGACGTCTTCTCTATTTGACACGTTCTGGTTTAGAGCCAATCCCTCCCCCATCACTTATCTGTACATAGTGTAAATGCGGAAAGTATTCCAGATTTCAAGTTTCTATTGAAGACAATTCGATTTTAGTACCGCACTTGAGTAGCATTTTCAGCGTAGTGTATTTTTTGATTTACTTTTCTTAAATTAATAATTATTAAAATTCAATTACATGTAATAATTTTGTTTGTGTCAATAAACAATTTTAAACTAAAATATGTCATTTAATTTTGTACCTACTTACCTCAGAGTTCAGCCAATCTTTCTGCGGGCGATATACTCTCTCCATAAAAGTATCTTGATGTTTTATTCCTGGGATAATTTTTGGAGCAAGTTGTCGAATGTAGTTTTCTGCATTCTAAAATAATTGTAAAACTTGTCTTCATCTTCTCTCAATTGATTCTTGACAAGTTATGAAACCGCCATATTCCTCCCTTTTTCTAAAATCATTATCCAAAACCTTACTTCCCTTTTTTTCTATTTTCTTTTTCCTATATATGTAATAAGCAACTATAATCTTTTTTTCGTAAGAAAATTCATGACCACACGTCCTACACAGCCCGAGTAAAAAGCGCTACTAGCCAGTACTTACCAATGTCTCGCCGGTGATTTTGCCGTATCATGTACAAGCTAGACGTTTTTTCAACCGTACGGCTACACACCGTACGTTGAACAACCGTGTAATGGAAAAGAGGCCTAAGTCAATCAGCAGTGGAGCAAACCTATCACTAGCGTGGCACCCATAGTGTGATGGGTGTTAAAGTCACACATGGCTATGATAGGGCTGGGAAGGGATGATAAAATTGATTGTATCTCGGGAAGAAAAGAAGGAGAAGGGTGAGGAATATACAAAAGAAATGTCTAAGGTACGAATAGCAACAGCATTGATCTGTTCGCTGTGGGTGGGAAGAGGAATTTGAGAGAAAGGGAGGGAATGCCGTACAAAGACAGCACTGCCCGCATACCCATCATTCCTGTCACCCCCCAGACAGGAGAAACCAGGCACCTGAAATCGGGAACCAGGTGTCAGCCATGTCTTTGAGATGGCAACAATTGTAGGTTTATGGAGGTATATGAGGGAGATCAATTCGTGTTTTTAGGCAAAGGTGGGCGGTAGGGGAATTTCGCTACATGGGGCGACAATACCGAGATGAAATTCAGAAATAATTTCTAACATTTTGCCCTGAGAGGGAAGGGTGTCAACATTATTGTTGAGAGCTTGTGCTCTCCATTTGTCTCCCCCCCAACATCAATTAGAATGAAATTTTTTTGTAGTTTTTGAATGCATTTCTTACAAACAGAAAATTATAAACCTTTTCCTCGTATTACTACAGATAACATTACCATACCAACCATAACTGGTACATACCAAGTATGGTACAAACTATAATGCTCCATCCCATATCCATGCTATTAGTAGAACTAAGATTAAGGTTCTACTTTGTATGGGTTAATTAAATTATCCATAACAAAAATCATGTGTAACTCTTAAGAATAATTACTAATATATTAATTAATGATTTAAGATTTCTACAAAATTGGGGGATTTGCTGTGTTTCCTGTCTGCTACGGAAGTGAAAATGAGGAAGTTCGGTGTAGAGCCAGTCGGGTGCTTGCAGAGTTGTGTCAAAATAATCCTTTCTGCCAGGCGCGCGCCTTGGAGAGTGGCTTGCTTAATATAATCTTACACATGGTGACCACAGAACGTGGTCAAGCTTTGGCCAAGTGTATTTCTGCTGTATCTAGTAAGTAATTGTAATTAAAATATAAGTATTGAATGAAGACTTACCAGAGCATAGGATTAAACAAAAAAAAAAAATTATATGTCCACAATTACCACTTGCTATGTGTTTCCTCCTATATAAAGTAAAGGATCAATGAAATGGATGCAGCAATTTTGCTCTCATATTACCCTATAAGACATATATTCAGTCAAAACCGTTTACGACGACATCGTTTAGAATAACATACCGGTTATATTGATCAAAATGAGAGGTCCCGGCTGAATTCTATTGTATTAGGTTCTTAATAACAACGTCATCTGCTGTTAGGACTATCGGTTTTACGACCACATATTATATGAGTAGTCTCTTCGATGTCGTTATAACAGATTTTGACTGTATGTTTTTTTAATACAGAATTAATTTAAAAAGCAATAAGTTGATCAGACAGAAATTATTGCTGCATTTGCAAACTCCAAAAATAAACAAGGTGGAAATGTAACCTCATCAACAAATCAATAGAAACCATTCAGGATCTTAAATTCTGTTAATTCACTATTTGCAGGTGCATCGCGTGAGTTTGAGCCCTCTTGCGCGGAGTTGACAGCGCAGGGCGGGTGTGAGGCTCTAGCAGCTGTGCTGGGTTCGGATGACGTGTCAGCCAAGACGAAGAGTGCCTTCCTTGTTGCCTACCTTTGTGGTCACTACACACCTGCTAGAGGTATTACATTGTTTTAATCTATATTTGTCCGTAAAAATGCGAAAATTTTGTATTAATTTCAAAATTTACAATAATTGTATTGTATAAATCTATTTTTATTTTAATAATTATTATTAAAATAAAAATAGGCATAGCCAAAACGGATTACACCATAATATATACAACAAAAATTAAGTATTAATATTTATACCACACCTATATAATATTATGGTAGTGTCTTCTGTCTTGTCTTTTTCTTGATCTTCTGTTTATTATGAAAATTGTATTGTATACTATATTACAATATACGTATAGTCCAACCATACAAAAATAGTATTAGTTGATAAATGCACACGTTTATTTCTCCTTGATAGCCTGTGCTTACTTAGATATGTATTTATTATATTGTCATGTATTAAATCTGATTATTTTCAGAAAAATTTATAGAGCAAAATATTGTCTGCATTATCGCAGAACAAATTGAAAAAGGTGGGGATGCTGCCACAGAGCATCTTTTAAGCATACTCCACACCCTCAAAGATGATCAGAGAGTGATTCAACAGTGTCAGGATATCAATCTTAAGAAGATTCTAGAAAAGCATTTGAAAAATACCGAGGAAGATACGTTTTTGGAACAACAAGAGTATTGTATGGAGTTATTAAAGATTATTGGTAACTGTCCGCAGGCTGAAATTATACAGAGTGAGGCTGATAGATAGATTTTTGTGGAACTTGGATTATTCATATCAACTTTAAGATAATAATCACCGCAAAGGATGTTACTAATATGTGCGTTTCTCTATTATCTAAGTTATGTGTATATTAGGTATTAAAGCATTAAATTAATACTCCTTAATTAATGCCGTTAATGAAAACTGTACGAAATAAAAAATTAAACATTGAACGTATTTTATTCCACGTAACACGCATAAAATATCAATAATTACAAATAAACAACAAACTGTTTCCTATATGTAAGTAATAAACTTGGTTTATTTTGTTTTATCTTATAAAATTTTCATTATATATATACAGGCTTATAACATTCTTAAATAGCGTGATAGTCTATCGGGTACTTTTCAAACAAATCAGAAATTGTAATAAAATTATTATCACTTCAACCACTGCGTGATTAAGATTAGATAATTATTTTAGTAATTAGGATTGTTTTATAAGATATATTATTTTTATTTATAGCAGTATTTAATCCTTCCGGCAATCAGGTTTTATTAAAAAAGTGGTTGACATCAAATTTTTTGAATTATGTAATTATTATATGAAGAAGTAAGTTATCAAAACACAACCTCTTACTTTGTTCATAGAAGAATATTAAACACCGACTATCTGCGAACTTCAATAAAACAGTGGTTCAAGTTTATTATCTTTCTTATAGATTAATAACTGTTGTATACTCCGTCTTTGAATGTGTTATCAGAATTTTTCCAATCAAAGTCGATACCAGTGACTTCTTTTATCCAATCGTGGTAGTGACCAGGGCGAACATATGCTGGAAAATCAATAAAATCAGTCAAAATAAAACAGATATATGATGAACCGGAGTGAACTAAGGTGTAGTATATTGTTAAGGTGTGTATAGAATAGATTTGATGAACTCAAATTCCGATTTTAGAAAATCTTTAGAATATTGAAATCATATGCGAGTCGCATGTGATGTGACATTCTGCATAAAAAATCGATTTTTTATTAATCGATTATTTTTTTAGCATGAATAATCGATTAATAAATAATCGATTTTTCTTAAAAAAATAATCGATTTTTTCCTAATTTTTGAATTAATTTCAAAATAAACACCCTAAATATTTTCATTTCATGGTTTTTTTAAATTAAAAATAAACAATAGAAATTATAAACACAAATTAACGTTTAAGAATAATCAAAATCGAAATTAACTTAATCTCGTTTTGATAGATTTTGATAAATGCTGAGTGTATTCCTTTTCAGTAGCACATTGCAGTATTTTTGTTGTCTTTTTTAATTGTATGTAGTCTTGTGCTGCTTGAATAAATTTATTTTACTTTTTAAATTATAGGGTTCCATTCAAACTTGATTTTTTGTAAAATTAACTGCTTCTATCATCCTTTTGATGTTTTACAAAAAAACATCAATGTATCGAGTATATCAATACATCTTCAAAGAATCGGATTCAATGTATCGCATTGTAAACATCGCTGTGTATCGAATATCCCTAATAGTTCGAGGTCCGGGTTATAGAAGACCAGACATAATGTCGGGAGGTGGCAGATAAAAATCTAAAGAAAAACGCTTTTTACCGGATTAAAGTTATGTTTAAATACTAATAAATTTATGTGGTCACCGTGACCACGCACGCTGTAAAGCACGCGAAACGTCGGATAAATTTAAAATTATGTCAAATAGTTGTAAATTTATAATAATAAACATAACTTTAATCCGGTAAAAAGCGTTTTTCTTTAAATGTGTAAAGGTTATGTTAATCAAAGACAATACTAGATAAAAAATCGATTATGATTGATTTTCAATTATAAAAATAATCGATTATTAATCGATTATTTTAAATATAAAAATCGCGTAAAAAAATCTATTTTTACTTTAAAAAAAATCGATTAAAATCGATTTTTTTAATAATCGATTATTTTTTCACATCCCTATATGCGACTAACATTAATTTTCATATAGATATATTTAAGATGTAATGAAAACGAAGTAACGGACGACTGTTACCTGAAGGGAAAGGTGAGTTACATCCTGCAGAAGAGCCAAAGCTCACAATACCAACCATAGTAGGCTTTCCGTCTGTGTCAATATTGGTTAAAGGACCGCCACTGTCACCCTGTCAATAGATTATTAACTGAATTAAATATATGGATTGGGCGTCGCATATCTAAATCCATATATAATAATAAAACAACCCTAGGGTTGTTTTATTATTTTATTGCTTACCTGACATGAGGACTGAGCTGTATCGTTATACGACTTAGCGCAGAGTGTCTGATCAGCGATTACGCTACTTCCTGGATACCAAGCACGGCACTCGGCGGTCGTAATACCCAACAAGTACACCCAACGTAGCACCTCCGAAGCTGAACCTCCTGGATTCATACAATAAAATTTTGGTTCTTGATATCAAGAATGTCTACATCTAGTATTATTCCTTTTAAAAAATTACCCGATGACTTGCTACGCGTTTGTAAAAAATATAGTTAAGGGCAAATGGAATCAAAATTGCACAATACCATTGATCCTGTCGTCTGTGAGGCCGTATCCACTGACGGTAAGTCTCACACCTTCGTATACGAGGTTCTTCTGTTCACTATTTTGCAGACGTGCTGGCTGGATGTTTGCTGTAGAGCATCGAAAAACTTGATCATGAAGGTCATGATTAGATTGACACGACATTCTTTCTTTTGTTCTATGGCTGTTCACAACAAGTATGGATTGACAAAGGTAAAATAATTTTCATCAACAAATGACGCCGATAACTTGATATTTTAATCGATGGTATTTACTCACGGCCGTAAGGTATGGGCTGATTGATGCCCAACAGGGCGATGTCATGAGTCTGCACTCGCTGGATCTGCTCATTGTACTGCGGGTGGAGGAACGGCCTTATGCTCTCCACCATATACTCTGGCTTCGTTAGGTTGATCAGACCGAAACGGACCACGAACGTGATGCGGCTATTAGTTACAAACGATACAATAAATATTTTTAGAAAAATTTGAAGCGTAATTTAAGTCCTGCCTACGTTTTTGAGTGACTTTAGGCGCATGAGGGTAAAACTTTTACGGACGAAACGTAATAATAATAATGTTAGCGTCGCGAAGAGAATTTATGATATACCTATTAGTATTTTATGCAAAATAATTTATTGAAATCTCAAAGGACGAATTATTGTTAATTAAAATGCCACGTATTTTTATTGTCGAAGAAATAAATTTAAAAAATTAAATTTATAATTTGTATTATTTTCGACACTTAATATTTTAATGACAGTTACATTCATTAAATTCCTAACATATCTTAATTTTCCCTTCCTCTAAGTCTCGGAAATCTTAAGTTTTAGATTTGTATAATTATGAATAAGGCTTAAAAATTAGTTTGCCAAGGAAGTTTCAATTCTGACATGTGTACTTTGCATGCAAGCACTTTTTTTTGTTTTAGCGTTCTATCACTATTTTTTTTATAGAACGTATTAACGGGCAGGAGGCGCACGCGATGAAATGTGATACCGCCGTCCATGGACACTCTTAATGCCAGAGGACTCGCGAGTGCGTTGCCGGCCTTTTAAGAATTGGTACGCTCTTTTCTTGAAGGACCCTAAGTCAAATTGGTTCGGAAATACTTCAGTGGGCAGCAGGTTCCACATAATGGTGCACCACGGCAAAAACTGCCTTAAAAACGCTCAGTTATTAAATTATGGACGTCGAGGTGATACGGGTCGAATTTCGTATTCTGCCTCGACGTCCGATGATGAAACTATGTCCCCATTTGAGTTGAGGACATGAATGCAAAAATTAAATTAGGTAAAGCTACAAAATAAAAGGCTTCATATTTCGTATTCGTATACATAATTTAAACAAATGAGGCATCACCAAATCTGTATCTTCTTACTACTTACTTAGCCAGGCAGTGAGCAGCGGTAATGACCCAGTTGTGGTGGATAATAGAGCCTCCGCAAGAAGATACACGACCGACGTTGTTAACCATTCGCAGACTGATCTGGTAAGGGATCTGGCCATCTTCAGCTTCCCATCCTGCCACTATGCGACCTTGGGAACCTATGCATGATATATAGAATAATTAGGCAGAAAACACTTGATGATAATTAAGTGGATTAACTTTTAACCTACCTTCAAAATCTTCACGAAGGCTCTCGATGTAGGCAGGCGTGTTTAATTCAATAGACGCGCCCTAGGGAAACCATCTTATTATTGATTTATAATGAATAACTGATATACTATATACTTCTTTAAACTTTTTTTATATTATAGGAGGCAAACGAGCCCATAAAGGGCTAACATCGCAGCCCATGGACATCCATTTTTTGTGAGTGCGTTGCCGGCCTATGTGACACCTTAGCCTTAATGTCACAATTGGATACGCAAAACATGAGAATGTACGCAAGTTTATTAACAAAATACGATTATTACCTGCGCTAATCCAAAAATAACCAAAAGCCCAAACAGATGCCACGTCTCCATTTTATCGACTAATTTCTTTCTTTGACCAAATTTAACATATCTAAAACTAATTATAATCATTATCTATTAATTTCAAGTATTAATTTGATAGTACTATCTTTTGCTATATTTTGAAAACTGATATGATATATAGCAATTCAAATTCATATATTTAACATGATTTCATGTTTTTTTTATTTGATTATATGTACATCCGTATGTATATCCGTATATCCTATATGTGTATTTAGATTTATTATAATATGGTGTAATTACCTTATCTCGATGATTATACACAAAAGGCCAACCTAGTTGATTATAAAAAAAATATAATGTACTAACTGCACTAGGCCATTGCTTAATGGGTATATTAATAGAATATTTATATTTTTTACATTAAGGCACCGGCCGTGCCTGCCTGACATGAGCCGATTTCCTGGCGATGGTAGATAAATTAAATGGTGAATAGCCGGCGTTTGAACGAACTTAGTTTAGAATGTTGAACATATATTAGAATATTTAGTTAGTTATTTTTTACTCATCGAATAGAAACAATTTGTAGTATTTGTTCATAGTAAAACACGCTAGTAGCACCATCTGTCGGAGCATTACAAATACAATTGCGAATCTAATAATGTATATTTCACGCATCTTTATTTGATCTGGTTAAAGAAGCACTGCTTGCGAGAGAAAAGAGAGGCATATAAAAAACACCATTGTACACAAAATAACGATTTATTAACATAAGTACAAATACACATCTTAGGTACAAATATCACAATAGTACGTTACACTTAAGTAAATAATTTAAGTAACGCGAAGGAAGATAGTCCTCGAGATTTTTAGATCAATGGTTAAGATCAGCGCACAGTTATAAATTATTAAATAAATGTATGTATTCCATTCACTTGTGCGCTCATCCTAAACAACATTCCACATTAGTATTTTAGACGAAATCACAAATGCAAACAGTGTTAGTTATAAAATACAAAAATAGTTCTACATTTGTTCAAACTTTCATAATATAGTAATTTTATTCAGACTATGTACTATACAATTTTAATAAAAATAAATTTTGCTAACTTCGGTTGAGTGTTGCTTATTTGAAAACAATTTTCGTTGTATATAAAGCTAGCAAGATAGAACGAAGAAACACTCAACATTAGTATGAAATTAGCTTATTCTGTTCGCTTTTAGCACTTATTATTAATTTTAAACAAGTTTCACAACGTTGGAATGGTCCGTGTACGCTGTTTTTAAAACTTAGCGTATACCAGATCGTGCTCGTATATTATGGCTCGGTACAATGCGAAAAGTTTCACGAGCTACTATGAAATATGGTTTGAACGCATTATCTAAACAGTTTCAGAGGTACAGTATGCAAACGCATTTTTTTAAATATAATTATTTTTCTTTTCGATTTTAAGTACGAATAATAATTATAGCTGTCACGAGCTCGGAACGTCACGATCATATTTTTACAAGATTACATTTCAGTAGGAATGTAGTAAATATCTTTTAAGTTATGTTTCGTATGGCTATGCGTTTTCTTGTCTAATCACGTATCTGGATCTCTATATCACTAAAAATGTAACACTTTTAATTAGAAAAATATTTTCGCGCCAAACGTACGAATACATTTATAAAGTAACTAATTGTACCTAAGTCTAGCTTTAGGGCGAATTTGGACCTCACTTCGACTGAGTAACTTATGTTTTGTGAACTTAATAATATAATAATTCGATAGATAGAACTCTGGCCAGTAGACTAGTAGAAATTATTATTTTATGTCGTGAAAAACAAGAGTAATTTATGTATGAAACTTTTTTACGGATTTTACCGTACGAAGGCAGTTTTGGTAATTAAGATAGATATTTGGAATATAGAGCCTATTCGAGGTCGCTACCGCTTAACCACATGGTATTATTGTATTATTACATATGTGGTTTTCAACGGCCGCTTAAACGATAAAAAGAGAACAAATATTCGCTAATTTAATACTCTCTATTGTAAGTAATAGTTACACTGAAGTAGTGCAATACTTTTTTCTTTGGACTTATCAATTGTCTTATTCGATTATATAAAATAATCCAAAGTTATGGCCACCGTGATCTCATTTAACTGTAAACCTCTAAAAATCTTGTACTATAAAATAGGTCTGGCATTTGCCCCACTGTGGGGACAAAACCGCTACAGTGTCATCAACATTGGCTCACTCTATTAGATATTGAAGGTACAAAATACTGTACTATATTGCAATAGGTACACAGTTGATTTTTATAAACAATAACGGAATTTAGAGTCCAGACTTAGCGGTGGGTGTGACTCCCGTTTGTCAAAAATGGGTTAGATTTTGACAGGGAGTTACACTCTCTAGGTCTCGACTCTAAATTATAGATAAATATTCTAACATTATTTATTATACTAATAGTTTAAATATATTTAATCGTTTGAGAACTTTTTTAAGAGATTTGTAAATTAAGTATGGCAATTCTCTTATTAATAAGTATATTACAACAGTTGATCACTTAACATATTTATATTTTATGGGTACGTTAGGGTAAGATCGTATAATCCAAATAATTCATAGAAATATTAAACAGTCGTATTGCCATCATCGCTTGGACTTTATCAGTGCTTTCCAGAGAAAATGGAGAAGTCAGTTAATGCAAAGATTCCAAAGAATACCTCTTCCATTTTCAAATTAAAGATGTAACCAAGAAGGCTAAGTGTATATTTATATTTCCGTCGTTTTTAAATATCTTAAGGGGGTGGGTCCCACCTTGGGAAACACTGGTCTAGACTTATATTGGAATAAATCCATAATTGATTAGCAGTTTGTTTGTCCATCATGATTTCTATATAAAGCCCGACAATGCTCAACGACATATTTCAAGAAAAATTTGAATATGGGCTTAAGTCTCACAACTGAATCAGTTTCAATGATAATTTTCCTTGATAGATTAGTATAAAGCGATTATAGCTGTCTATCCGATAACAGGGGTACACGAAAATTAGCAAATGCAAATATCACCCATAGCCAATAAGTAGAATCGTAATATTTGTTAAAATCTAAAATACTCGTATATATGGCAGCGTACATCTCGCGTGACGCACGAAAACAACACATTTTTATTTTTATAAATTTCTTAGGAAATTGTATTATTTTACGCCCACATTTTCGCAAATTGATAAACTTGCCGAACTCACGCATATAATAATAAATAAACGGCATGTGCGCTCTGATTGGTTGAATAAGTCACTAACCAAACCTAGCCGTAAAATCTTACGAATGGATATCCGTTAGTTGATAAATTCACTACGAGACGTCGCAAATTGATAAATTTTCGAAAATGTGGGAGTAAAATAATACAATTTTTTTCTCGTCTACGAAAGTTTATAAATTGCGGATTTTGTTATATTCTGGTGACATATAGGGTAGACCTACAGGATACAAAATAAAAATCTTTATATTCAATATACATTAATAGAAACTCAACGCGTTTTGTGTCTCTCCATTACTAGACCTCCCAATAAGCAGTATTTCATGCGCTTGTGGATCAGTGGCAATCCGCTCTCACCACTCTTTTTTTTCCAATTTGGCCTATCTAAGTACCACTTACGATTTCTTTATGTATATGAGGATTTGTTTTAAAATTCAACTACATTGCTTTATATTGTTAAGCAAGGTGTTTATATTAAAGAACAATTCCTTTTAAGTATAATGTTAGAGGTTAATGTCTAAAATATTTATTTCAAAAGTCTTAATTATGTATGATCATATCTTAGGGCGAATGATGATACTTTTAAACTGATTTATTAATGTTTGAGGTTATTGATTCATATTTATTTCATGACCGCCGAGAATGGTCTCGAGAAAAATGAAAGAAGCTGTAAATAAAGTCAGAAAAAGAGTTGACCTTACGTAAAGCTCTAAGATTTTTTCAGTACCTTCACGACTACAAAAAAAAGGACATATATATGTGAATTATATGCCAATAATTAAAATTGATCTTATTATTATATATTTTTATGATTCCAAAGTTATATAACACTATACCTTAAAATTTTGTTATATGTTGTGTATCATCATTCACCCCGAAAGTTGGGGCGATTCGGATATTTTTTTTTTTAGTTTTTAATAGTAATTAAGAGAATATATGTATGATTTAAGTTTTCAAATGTTTATTTCATAGGTAATTTTACTTCTTCCATTTTATCAATAAAAATAACATTATATAACACTTTAGTATGATTTACTCAACCTCAAAGAAAAAGTGATCCGATTCGCCTCGGTCTACTATATATATAAGATTAGCAAGACTTACCGCTAAGTACAAACTTCCGTATGTCAGAAACGTATTAAATTTATATATTTATTGTTTTAAGTCGCAAATATCGACTATGATTTTAACCCTTAGTAACATTAAAATAAGGGTCCTATTTATAAACGTACTTTGTAAAACGACACTTTATTATTTGAGTAGTGAGATTGGGCAAAACATTCAATATCTATTTTAATATTTATTTATTTATTAGTAAGGAATTTCTGGTGCTGTATAACTTTAATAATAGCAAGCTGTATGTTTACTAACCTGTATTAGAATGGCAGTAACTGTATACTAACTTGATAAACCATTTGTGATAAAATGTTACAAAGTATTGGGAATACAATAACGTTTATCACAAAATTAGCGGTAAAAACTCCTATTTCAATATAAGTAGTGCAAGATTAAAAAAAATAGTGATAGAAATAACTATCACAAAATAAGTGGTAAAGGACCAAAAAATTATTGTAATCACGTGGCAATGGTGATGGTGGGTTCCTTCTTGATCTCTAACATCTTGTAGTAGACGACGGCGTCGTGGACCGTCGGGAATGTCTCCACTTGCAATTGCTCTGACTCCAAAGAATTGTATTTCTCTATCATTTCTAGGACGGGACCTGAAAAGAAAATATTACATTCTTAAAAATATTTCAAAAATAAATGCAACAAGTGGTCGTTGCAGGCAAAAACTGCGACCCAAATTCACTTATCAATTCAAATTAATAATTAAAACGTTACATATTTAGATTTTATTGCGGTTGGTTAAGACAAAAATATATATGTATTATTTATTTATTTAAAAAGGAAAGAAACATATACAAATTATAGCCAATGTGTGGCCTCGATAATGTACTTATTACTACAAAGTTTACAAAGAAAGATAATACAAAAATGACCTTAAATTATAAATAGCATAGCAAAAGAACCTAATAAAGTAGTTTATCAGTGAACTTGATTTTTATTTTCACTTGTAAGTATATTTGGTTATCATGTCATCAAAGGCATAAAGATGCCTTGTTTTAATGACTGGTGAATGATAAGAATAACAATAAATAAATTTGACAAAAATGAAGTATGTATGTATATCAGAAACAATATATAAAAAACTAATATTCCGAAGGTCTACTATAAACCGTTTTAAAAATTCGCAAGATTCCTTCAAGTTTCCGTGGTGTAGCGGTTATCACATCTGCCTAACACGCAGAAGGCCCCCGGTTCGATCCCGGGCGGAAACATTTTTACTTTTTACTTTGAATTATTTTAACATTTTTTTTTTGCAAAATACACTATCATCATGAAACGCTGTAAATTTTAACATCTTTACTTATATTTTTAATACATTTAATAAAATTTTATATAACTAGATTTTTCCATACTATGATTTAATAAGAATAAAACACAAATGTAGTTGGCATTGCGAAATAAGAGCATCTACATTATATTGAGAACAACACGTATTATTACACAGTACCAGGAGAATAATTAATATGACATTTGCATGCCTATTTTTATATGGCTGATTGTCCGGTTTATTTTTATAATTAATCAATCTTAAGTACGCATTCCACGTTCTTTGCAATAAAACGATTTATGATTATTATTATTCATCACATACGGAAATACTCATTTGATTTTATTTTTGCTTAGAAATAGAAGAGATTCAAGCATCTTCCTCACAATCGAGTAGCCCGCGAATCTTTGTATCTAAGAAGTCGCATGGATCCGCCAACAATAATGTCACCGAATACAATATTACGACGCATATCATCAATTCTATAAAATACTAGCTGACCCGGCAAACGTCGTTTTGCTATGTACCGTATATTATTTCTAGGAAAAAATTTTTTAGTTCAATAAAAATAACTATCTACTATAATAAAAAATGGGGGCTGATCGTAGAGGTGAAAGTTAGGGGTTGTATGTATTTTTGTATGCTGTATCATAAAAAAATAAAAACAAAACAAATTGTCTAAAATTAAAAAATAAAATTTTTGGGGTCACCCCTTATCACTAAGGGATATGAAAGATAGATAGTAGCCGATTCTCAGACTTACTGAATATGCATAAAAATTTCATAAGGATCGTTCGAGCCGTTTCGGAGGAGTATGGGAACAAACATTGTGACAGGAGAATTTTATATATTGGAAGATTTATCTTACCGTTAGCGCCAGCTAAGAGTACTGTGATGTGACTGCTGACGAGTTCTTGCTGAGCGGAGAGAAGGCTTTTGATCCCCGGCGCATCAACATAAGATAGTGCAGTCGCGTCTATTATTACACAGTTTATCTGAAACAGTTAAAACAATTAAAGTTTTTGAAAAGTTCATATTTTTTGAAGTTATACTTCTTTAGGCGCGTTATGAAAAATTGATGAGAGTGAAATTTTACGATGCGCGCGCACCGTGACACAAAATTAACAGAATGAAGTTGCCCACGGAAGATGCTACGTCATTGGACATGATTTAAAAACAACATTCGAATAATAATATAATTTATGTTACACTTAATGTAAGAGAATAATAATAAATATTTATTTAATTTCTTAAATGTAAACGGAACTTTATTGACTATAATGACTCCTTTTCCAGTCTTTGATTATTTAATTGTAATTAATTATTTGCATGCAATCAAAAACTATGTATGACTTCTTACGCGCGTACATAAGTACACGCACCCTTTTTTTTAATAAGATGTTAAAAGCAGGTTTTGTTTTACTTCAAAATAAAACTACAAGTGAATTGGGTATTTTTGCGCTTGCGCACATAATCATCCACTAAAATATATTCGTTTATTGAATTTCGATTTATTCTTTCTAGAAGTTTACGTTCATGTTAGGGATATGGTGTTTTAACTAGATAATCAAAAGACTGATTTAAATTTTCGTTCCTTTAAACGTGTCAACTTGATAGAATTAATATATAAAATAGGTTGAAATAACTTAAAATTTTACCTTTCTGCCAAGCGTAGAGTCCCATTCGTATGACTCACTCTTGTTAGTGAGGTTCCCTTCGTCTGTCTCCTTCAAGTAGCCAATTTTCCTGAAGAGTGTGGCTCTAAAGAGGTTCTTACTTGCAAAGTTGAGTCCACCACAGTAGTGGAATATTTTTACCCCGGGAAGTTCATCAGCCTGAAAAGCAGAGATTAGATTTTAGATGAAAACAGTATATATACATTTTGAAATAGTCGTAGTCGTTCGACTTTATGTGCATAAAATAAAAAAATAAAATAAAATATGTTTATTATGGAACATAAGATACATGTTTCACTTATTCCACGTCATTACATTTGAATTATTAATAAAGCATCACGCTTACTTTTAAATCAAGATATAATCGTCATGAAACTAATATAAAATAAATGAATACTAGAGGATAATACAACAAAAAATGTGAGCCGTCACAGGACGCCTTGCAGATGTGAAACATCGACATTTTGTAAAAGTAATATGCAGAAAAGAACAGATTGTGATAGGAACTAAATTTGTCATAATGATTTAATAAAATTTTACGATTTTTTTCCAAATAACGATGACTATTTATTGAATAGATACAAAATGTTTGTATTTAATTTTCATTAAATACAAAAATGTACAAATTTATTTCAAATCGTGACTACTTAATTCGTTTAATCAGTGACTTCGAAATACACACACCGTACACACTACTGTATATATATACCATCATATAGCGTGGCGACGCATGCCGTGGCGACGATAGAAATCGGTTTTACGTGCGGCTATAGATGTTTCACATCAAAAATAGTTTTTAGTAGTTTCATGGATTTCTATTTTATTTTCGATTGGTTAATGTGGCGCTGCAATAGTGCATCTGACATTTGTCAAATCAGCATAAACATGACAACGTCAAAACAAACAAAAAATATGTGAAATAATTTCTTAAAAATGCGTTTCTTCGGCAACAAAACATATCCATACAACGTAAAATATGAAGTGGGAATTTTCGATATAGCAAAATGGTGGTGCATGTTATATTTTAATATTTTGATCATGTGTTGTGTGCAGTTCTTCATACTATCATTGCAGACTGAGAGAGAAATAGAAGATATGGTGGAGGTCGTTGTCCTGCCAACACAAGCGTAAACATGTGACGAAACTATTTCATACAATTATCGTCTGATTTCGTAAATATGGAGAAATTTCATAAAATATAGTCAGAATGATCAATAAATGCAACTAATATTTTAAGTAAATTATAGTTTCCTGGTGATTATTATATTGATATAATATAACGTGATATCCTAGATTAGAAAGATAGAAATTATTCACGTAAAAATGACCGTTCCTACATTTTTGTCTATTAATGATCTAAGTTCTTGTTTTCTCTATTTCGTTATGGGAAGAACTTGAACTAGGTAATCCAGTTACTAAACACGTATTATTAAACTTCAACATTTGATCGAAGTAATTAGTAGATTTTTTTTTAAATAACCATTTTTATGTTACATTAGCATTTTATTCATAATCAATTCTTGTTTTAGAAGAATACTCACCGCACGGTACCGTTTGATATCGAGGTAGAGGTCTGTATCAAGAACTCTTCCTAATAAGCAGGTATATGGTCGCTGAGATCGCACGAACAAAGCTCCCACTGAGGCTAGAAGACCCGCACCAAGCCTATATGGATAAATATCTTTACTCAAAACTGTTATACCATCCAAACAAAGTTAACATTTCAATAACTTTCTGAAAGCTTTAAAATTAATTAAATATTTTCATTTTTTACAATCTGTCAAATGTCATATTCAACTGATGTCAACTGCAGAGCACGGCTCTTCAAATAAAGAGTGAAGAAATTAAATAATATTATAGTATGTGAGCTGTAGCATGGTGCGGGTGACAGTTTCAATAACGATTCGTTTCACTCTTGAAAGATGCCGCGATTTACAAATTATGACTTAGTATTTCAGCTGTAACACATTCGTAATATATTAAAGCATTAATAACTGTAGTAACATAAATTTAACCCAGCCAGAATGTTCTAGTCTACAGATAAAGCAAATTGAAATAAAAATTAAGCAACTGTCACCCGCACCATGCTACAGCGCACATATTATAAAAAAATTGATCTTCCAAGCAAAGTTAAAATACTTTAGTAGTTTTTTAATAAAAATTTAAATATTTACCCAATATCAATGTCTATGAGGACAGTAGTCAAAAATGTAGCAAGCCACACTAATGCGTCAAGTTTACTCAGTCGCCAGAATCTGAAAGTCACACGAAGTTGATTAAAAATGGAAAACAATTTCTCTATGGAAAATAATGGTTGTTAAATATTCGGTTTACTAACGGTATGGATATTTAGGTTTTAATTGGGATCATTAACAAGATTTTGAATTAAATAATATTAATTTCACTTGATTTAGATTAAGGCTGGTCTTATTACAAACTATAAATGATTTATTTACTTAGACTATGTGATGCCATAGGTAAAATATTTAAATAATTAAAAATACTGACTTAGCGAGTTCTGTGACTTGCATGAACATGCCTTTGAGCGAGACAGCGATGATGGAAGCCAGGACGCAGCGTGGCAGCAGCTCGAAGAAAGGCCCAACCCATAGAAGTACGCACAGAATTAACACCCCACTGACTACTGACGTTATACCAGTCTTACCACCCGCCTGCATAATAAAAACTCTGATATTTTTGGAATTTAAAAATATTTGATAATGGTTGGTTTAGGCTTCTAAGCACAAATTTAATAGATCAGTTTTACTGTGTGACAGCAGTTTTAACTTCATAGGGGTTCAGTGACCCCACATTGTAAGTACGGTTAGTTCTCTTAAGTGATTTGAGTTTATTAGAGATATAAATTAAAATTATCTTCTATCGTCATTATTACAATAAACATCGAAAATCGATTGTACAGTTTTAATTACGAAAAAATTTATAATATTATTGAATTTTGATGAGGTGTCAAACATATTTGGCTCTTCTTTGACTAGACTATTTAAATTATTGTCCACATTTCTATTCTCTAAGTTACTAGAAGTCATATCAAGACGATTTGATTCCAATTAAGTTTATATGGATCCTACGATTTAGCAGTTTTTGAGATATTCAGGAATTATTGTATTAATATCTATTTGTAAAAAATAAATCATACCCAACTTAAAACGACCCCGTTTAAAGATGGGTATAATTTTTTTAAGTCACTTATTTCTTCTGACATATGCGGTTGCATATGTCAGGTGAAGAACGCGCTTAAAATGAATTCTAACTAAAGAGCGGGTAAAAGTATGTAGAAATTCATTATTAATATGCTGTATTTAAAATCTTATGAGTACGATTAATGACGATAAATTCTCTAATAAAAGCTTGATATTACTATGCTGAAAGCAAATGTAATATACAATATTTCACACCTGATACTGTATGTATGAACGTGACAAACTGGCACACATCGGAGCGCACGTAAAGAACGCACCGAACATGTTACTCGCTCCCTGTAACGAACATTTTAACAATTAAATGTGTATATTGTCACTGTAGAATGATAACCTCGTATGTCAAAAAACCATTTACTTTTTATTCTTAGACTCTTATGTTATTTTAAAGTGGTTTAATCATGAAGTATGGACTTATTTATGTTATTACTAAATAAGTCCATACCATCCAAAACTATGGACACATATAAATAAAAGATATTTACGAACATTGACGAAATTGAACTTGTTTTTCGTTTCCCGTAATGTTTGGTTCTCTGGACATACGAGGTTATCATTCTACAGCGACGATATGACAAAATCAACATAGATTTGGTCACACCATATCTAAAATAAACTTATTAGGTACTAATTTTGGGAGTTAAAAAACATCACACATGTTAAAATGAGGACAATCAGATCCTTATGAATATATGTGTATAACCTTTCTATAATATGTTATAGAAAGGATATACACGTGTGACAATGACAGGAGAACTTAAGAAGCAACAGCGCTAACCAGATCCATGCAACTTAATCACAATCGAGTAGCCCGCGATATCGCAGCACACAACTCACGAGGGGACTCTTTGCATTGAAGAAGTCGCATGGGTCCGCCAAGCATTCGCGAATACACAATTTAAATACATTATTATGTAGGAATAAACAAAATAATAATATAGCAAATAATTAACACAATAAGGTTTCTAAAATGACTCGGCGAAAGGAGCTGCAGAAAATGTCCAAAAATTAGTCTTAGAGTCAGAAGTGGCTGAAAAAATATGGCTACCGTAAGTTATTAAATGAATAGGATATTACTCCGTTTACGATATAATGATTATTTTCTTTAAACATGAGCCAAAATGTTGGTATGCAGATGTAATACAAACCTACATTCACCAAGATTGGGCATGCAAATACACGATAAGAAGCGAATAATTATAAATGTTTTCTTTATTCATGTCAAAAAACATTTGTGACAATTAATCAATTTGCTATTAAAATCACTTAGCCACTTAGCACTTATAAAAGTCATATTTTACATACCAGCGCTAACAGTTCCTGATTAGCATCAACTTCATATTTCTCCTTGGCTGCGAATATCAGTGACATGGACATGGATATCGTGTAAGTGACCATGGTTATGGTGAACGCGTCTAAAGCTATATCTGGGAGGAGCTGCATTGGTGGTACTTCTGGTACTGGGAGACTGAAAATTTGAGAACATATCTTGTTTCATAACTAATTGGCACTAACAACCGATACTTATGACGATAGAACCAAATATTTCGATGGAGGAGGTTTTTAAAACGTGACAATTCAATATCGGAATTCTAGCAAACGAAATTCCAAATTTTATTAAGTACATTTAAAGATTTTATTACTTATTCAATTAGTTAATTCAAATGTTGTTGGTGTTTTTAAAACAATAAAGATTCACCTTGCTTAAAAATTTAGATTTAATTTCCATACAAGCAGTGTATACATTAATTGATGGAAGTTAAAAAGGTACCAAGTTGAATAAAGGTGAATTAAATTTAAAAAATGTCTGTAAATAGGCTTTGAAGTATAATTTAGTAAAACTAACCAGTGTCAATGAATAATAATCTCATATATCGTATAAAACTCACCCAGTAGGTATAGTACCAACTAATGAAAGACCGTAGTTAGTTTTAAGATCAACGAATTTAGACACTAGAGTGCCTATGACTATCGCCAGTAACTCTATAGGCACCGGCACTCTGCTTCGCTTGCTGACCCATGGCTGAAATAAATAGTAATAATTTAATTTTTACAAAATGGTCCCTTGACAGAAAAACTACAAAATATCTTAAACAATAAAGGGTTTGTTTCACAATGTATGGATAAGTTCCAAATTAGCTATTTATTACTTATTGGTAGGATAAACACTATTGTTGCGTTTCACAACTGTCAGATAGCGCTATTCGCCACATAAAGTCCATCATAAGTTATGAGTCCGATGAAGTGTCAAATAGCACAATTTATCTTCTAAATAATTTGTGTGTTGCATAGCTATTTGGTACTTTATCCATACATTGTAAAACAGACCCTATGACTCATTCACTTGTTTTCCAGAACAAACTTTCTGTTTCTTAGAAAGTCTAATATCCATAAAGGATTGTGGCGCTGTTTTGTTTATGCAACTTTATACTATGTGCGCTGTAGAATGGTGCGGGTGACAGTTGCTTAATTTTTCTTTAAATTTGATTTTATTTGTAGACTAGAACATTCTGGCTGGGTTAAATTTAAGTTACTACAGTTAATAATGCTTTAATATATTACGAATGTGTTACAGCTGAAATACTAAGTCACAATTTGTAAATCGCGGCAGCTTTCAAGAGTGAAACGAAACGTTATTGAAACTGTCACCCGCACCATGCTACAGAGCACATAGTATAGTAAATTTAAGTCGGACATTAGAGGACAAAATTTTAATAATATAACGTATATTGAACAGTTACCTTGAGTAATTCATTATTGAGTGATATGACGAGACATGTGATGAACGAGATTATAAGCGCAGCCCAATTCAAATTCGACATGTTTTTGAACACTTCTATGACAGTCTGGAAGGAAAAATATTTCGTAGGTTTAAAAAATTATTTTAACCATATAAAACTATTGCTGAGATAAAATATTATTTACAATTTAAGTGTATTTAAAGTTTTTTTTTGGCAAATTGTTTTTTTGTCACCACATCATAATAATACTGACAGCCAGCCAAGAGTGTACATTTTGCGCACTCAGGCTTTTTTATAGTTTTATAACTTATAAATTATAAGCGTGGTGATCACCTAAATCGTCGGAGTTACGCCCGAGTATTGCGAGGCGCAGGCACTCTTTTCAGCAATTACTTTACATCCATTTAGCATTAAATTATTTTTAATAAAAATACACACATTTGTATTTTGGTCTAGAAAATCAACGTGCTTAACGACTACAATCATTCATCTCTTTAAATAATAAAATCTGGCTTGATGGCTATTCGGAAGCACTAAATTGTCTAAGGAAATCAAATCATACATATTTGACCATTTGGAACTTCTAAACTTACCTAATATAACCGTACCATTCTTTATACATTTATATCTCTTGCCTACAAAGCCTTCCAAATATAAGAAATATTAATTCACATACATACATACATTAGTTAATTAATGCATTGGAGTCAATTATCTTTATTTATTTAAATTTGCGACCCTTTGCGCGCTACTGCGATATTTGCGCTGCTTATCGTTGTTATTGTCGCGGAGGCCGTACATTCACGTTTAATATCTTAGTAAATTGAGGTAGGAAAAAAACCGTTATTTTCACGAGGTATTTATTTTTTATAAATATTGGTTTTAAATAGAACACAAGAACAGAGTGTCTTCCCTTTAATAGAGACTGTAAGTAGTGTTATTGGACACTTTCTTATGTAAAAATCCTTATGAGTAAATTAGGTTAGACTTAAATTACTTATTAGTGTTAAGTTAGGCTAGATTGTAATGTGCCATGATGTCTTAGTAAAGACGCATGTATATAAAAAAAAATATTGATAGGATTCATATGAAACTTAACTGTTTTTAAGTATGTACATGGTGTTAACTTACCAATACGACTTTATAGTTGCTTCCTAGTTTAGGCAGTCTTATCCCGAAGAGGTCCTTGACTTGTGAAGCTAACACGTGTAAGGATGCGGCTGTTGTAAATCCAGAGACCAGAGGCTCTGAGAGTAACGTTGACACCGCTCCAAGACGTAGTACCCACATCATTATCTTCAACAAAACATGACGATTGGGTCTTAGAGGAAGATTCAGGGTCACCTAGCGTTGAGCACTGACTGAGGGTAGAATTCAGTAGCACGAACGTATTAGATTTTGATATAGGGAAGTCATAATTCAGAAGGGTTATAGTTTACGATAAGTGTAGTCTCTAAATTTAACCCTTATAGCCGTACTCAGAGACGTTAATTGACAATTAATAGCCGCATTAATATACAACAAATATCAGTGTGGCGACCAAAACTGTAACCCTTTTAGGTCTGGGCCTCAGATTTTAGAAACTGTTTCGTGATCATTTATTTTTTCTAATAGGCAAGTGGGTGAACAGCCTCCTCTGGTTAACAAACGCCGTTGACTTTTTGGGTCTAAGGCTGGCCGGTTTCCTCACGATGTTTTCCTTCACCGTAGGAACGAGTGTTTAATGTGTTGATAGACAGAAACACATTGGGGCACAGCCGGGGATCGCACCTACGACATCAGGGATGCGAGTCGCACATTGAAACCAGTGGTCTGCTACAGTAAGTGGACTTATGGACTACACAGAAGACAGTTTTCAAAGATTATTTTGGTAGACCATTTTAGGTTTAAGAAACTCACCTGTATTAATCCAACAGCGAATGTGAGTGTGCTAAGCACCTGTACATGCGAGTACTGCGATGTCATTTGTAACGTCGCTAAAAAAGGAATTTTCTATAAGCTTAAATTCTGTATTCTGTTTAATAACTTAGAATACACTTTGAATCCCTTATAAGCATTGGACGATTAAAGGTGTATTATAAATGACTGTTTATCGTGCAATGAGAAAATAATTTGTAGAAAAACATTTTAGAAGCCGGTCGGTATTATTTATTTCGATTTATATATAGTATGATTTCCGTTGCATTATATCTATAAAGAGGATATTATGTATATTTGTATCTTTGTAACGAAAAAACTAATGAAGAGATATCCAACATTCTTTCACGATAACAGTCCTAAGCCACATCGGATATTAAATTCCAAAATATATTAAAAAATGTCCAAACTTTTTGATAATTCTAATAGCTTCATCAAATGAAATTCGTACAATTTAAATAGTTTACTAATGGTATTATGATTCTAAATTTATTATCATATTTTATTGTTATGATCTTACATGTCTAGTGCTATTATGATGTCCAGACAATAATTGATAAAAAAAAATTAACAAAGTTAAGGTTTGTACTACAGATGGTATAGATTAATAATTAATCATTCGAAAATCGTATAATTATACTATAAATTACCTTCAGCAATATCTGTTCCATTTACTGAGACTTCATGTGCTGCATGCTCGGTTACAACCTGAAATAACAAACAGTGAAGCTACACATAAATGATACAGAAAAAAAATTGTATTGATCTTTCTCAATAAATTCCGACGTTGACTAAACACTAAATACAAAAATATAATTATCTTTTTATATAATTTACCTTTCCAGCCATTAAGCAGGCTACAGCAAAAGTTCCCATCGACACATGGGGCGAAGTTCCGAACACAACATATACAAGAACGGGAAAGAATGCCATGTAAAGCCCTATGATTGGTGGCACCTGAGCTAACAGCGCATACGCCATTCCTGAAAGTTACATTTTCTATTAAGTATTTTTGTTACAAAAATAGTCTACCTCAATAAATTTGTTTGGGATATCCTTACCTTGTGGTATGTGCATAACAGCTGTGGTGGCGCCGGCGACCAAATCGCCAATCAGATCTGTCTTCGGTTTGTAAGCAGGTAGCCATTTTATGATTGGCAACGAATTAAATAGACAGTCCCCGAAACCGCAACTCTGGACCGCTTTTTTGGCCGAATAGCTCACTAAAATTATCAAAATATGTTACGCAAGTATACATAACATTATAGTAAGGTTGCCGCATGTGGGGCGGACAAAGATTTGTATTTCTTTGACTTGTTTATGTATTAAAAAGACCACGAAGTCTAAGCCTTTTAATAATCGATTTCTCAGGAATACAGAGGCGAATATAGAATTCTATGAGTACATTATTTACATGTGATACAACTCCAGTGATATAAACATTGTAACAAATTCGTTTAAGTTTCGTTCAAATAATAGGTTGTTAAAGAATCTGAATCTCGTTTCGTTTATTAAACAAGCATTTGGCTAAGTTCAGATGCCCGCGCGGTACCGCCCGAACCCCCCCCCCCCCGCAAAAAAACTATAAACTGGCCATTTTCCCCCCCCCCCCCCCCCGCCCCCCCCCGCCCCCCCCCCCCCCCCCCCCCCCCCCCCCCCCCCCCCCCCCCCCCCCCCCCCCCCCCCCCCCCCCCCCCCCCCCCCCCCCCCCCCCCCCCCCCCCCCCCTCCCCCCCCCCCCCCGCCGCCCGCGGCGCCAAACCCGCCCCGCCCCTTCCCCCCCCCAATCTTTTTTTCCGGTTCCTTTTCTTTCCCCCCCCCCCCCCCCCCCCCCCCTCTTCCCCCTTCCCCTCCTCTTTCCCCATTCCCAAAACAAACCCCCCCCAACCGACGGCCCCCACCCTCCCCCCCTATTTTCCCCCCCCCCCCCCCCCCCCCCCCCCCCCCCCCGGCGCCCCCGCCCCCCGGGGGGAGGCCCCCCCCCCCCCCCCCCCCCCCCCCCCCCCCCCCCTCCCCCTCCCCCCCCCCCCCCCCCCCCCCCCCCCCCCCCCCCCCCCCCCCCCCCCCCCCCCCCCCCCCCCCCCCCCCCCCCCCCCCCCCCCCCCCCCCCCCCCCCCCCCCCCCCCCCCCCCCCCCCCCCCCCCCCCCCCCCCCCCCCCCCCCCCCCCCCCCCTAGTAATTTTTTAAATGAGAATTTTCTTGCATAAACAAATAATTTATTTTTATGTTCCTAAATAGAAATATAAATAATTAGAAAGCGGCCTTATCGGCTTACAAGCGATCTCTTTTTGGCAATCATATTCAGTAAAGATAAGAAGAATATTGAGGCACGAAACTTCGAATAACAGACAATTTACAATAACTAAATTAAAACTCCATGTATGAAAATCCAATATGTTTTTGGGATGTCTTGGAGTCTTACGCTAAGGAATGTTCTCGTAACCTAACAAACTTACGAGGCTTTTCAGGCAAATGATAGTCAGCATCCTTATTAAGTACATCCTGGTGGTAGACGCGTCTTATCACGTTGAACTGCTGACTGGACGGCGTCTGAGGCCTGGAAACAAAGAAAAGTAGGTTTTTACTTTTTTCGAGAAGTTGAAACACGTTGACTTTGACGTAGACCCGAGCTGTAACGCAAGTTCGGCTCTGTAGCTCAAGAGCAAAAAACGTCTATGGCGAGAGAACGTTGAGATATTTGCTACCGCGGCTATTAGCCTAATAAATGGACTACACGGTCAGTTTAACATAAAGCAACATGAAAAACAAGTTGAAGAATTATTTCATTTGTCGCGCTCCTGACAACTGCGATTGTTACATTAATACAAACCACAGTGGTTTTCAAATGTAATATACCATAAATTAGATTGTATTATTCTGTGTAATAAATAAATAAAACACTTAGTAAAAATTGGGCCATATAAAAAGATAAAAGTACTATAGATCTTAATTTGGTGAATAATATTTTGTCTTAAATTAATAGCAAAGTAAACCGAGATTTATAATGAAAATACCTAAGAAGCTATGAAATATAATACGATTAGATAACGACAGATTTCATACATAGTGGAGAATTTTTTTAGACAGCAATGAGCGACTCTGATATGGTTTTATAACATAAAATATATCCGACTTATTAAGTACAGTAAATTTGTCTCTTTTCATCTCAGCATAAAAACAATTAGACAGGAAAGACGAAACAGTACAAAGTGCAATTATTATGAATAAGAGGGGGAAGGTTCATTAATCTTCTTCTTATAGTTACATCTCCTTTCGAAGGTTGGCGATCAACATGGCTACTTTAATTTTAGATGCCGCGCTTCTGAATAATAACATGGTGCTGTGACCAAAGGGTTCTTTAATGTATTGGGTTAATTTCTAGAATTTCATTTAGAATTTCCTTATTACAATTTGAGGGTGTGAAACCCAATACTATTTGGTTTGGTAACCCGATATAAAACGTCAATCTACTAATTGTTGTCACTGTTTATTTTAGGGTGATGTAGGTAATTAATTCATTAATTATTACATAAACCCCACAATTTTATAAGTCATTTAATTGCTGGTAGAAGCTGGTATTATCTGTAATTACCCAGATAAATTTATTCAACACGAATTATTTAATCGAAGCACTATTTTACTTAGTATCTGTGTAAAAATACACTGCACCAATTGTTTGATGAAGTTAATGATACGTAAGTTATATTTATTCCTAAAATATTACCCGTCATCACCATCGATTTCCTCGTCCCGTAACAAAGGAATGTCTTCATCATTATCACGTGTACGTCTTTGGAAATCGTTTTCGAACAATAACAACGTCTTTTTCAAACGCATTTTACGATACAATTATCTGGGCCCATGTTATTTAGACCTTTACCGATCGATATGTTCTGATAAAATTAATTGGGGCGGCCAATTACTGAATAATATATAGGCATCGGTAATTTCCACTTATAACTGCACTTATTTTTCCATAAACTTTTTAATATTTTCAAAAGAAGCGTTCAGGCATGGACTCTTTGCAACAGAACACAACATTCAATGTCGCTATGGCTCGCTTTTTTATATCTACCCGTATTTTCGTTAATATAATTTTTCAATTTAAACACATAAGTAAACATTTCTACTACATATTTTGTTCAAGACACCACAGTATACATTCAAAGACTGAGTAATAACGCGTTTAATCGTTATTTAATAATGTAAAATCGATTTTTAATTATAGAAAACGACTGGCCACGCTACTAAATTACAATAAAACTGAGGTTATTTCGCGAAGTTCTGACATGCATGAGCGACCAACTCTTGGTCAATATTTCGCGAATTTAAACAAAAAATATGCAATACTATTTTAGGAGTAAAAGCAGCGTTCTTAGAGGACAATTAAAGTGTTTTCATTACTATCAAGAAAATTATCAGTAATGAAACATCTGCAATCGTCTTTCTGATGGTTATTCGTTGGAAGCTCTAAGATCAAGAAAGAACAGACGTATTTGGCACAAAACTTAGACGTGAGTCAAATATTCGTATATCACGACCGCGTTGTTTGAAAAACTATGTATGTTAATTGCTCATAATAGATTTGTTATGTTAACATTATATCCAATCAATTATAACGTTTAGTGTGTTGATAAACGAATTATTTGTCGCTACGCTTGGCGCGTGTTTCAATTGACAGTGCGCGTAAATTGTGCGGGTCATCCTAATTTTTTTCTCGTGACTCACAAATATATTATAGGGAACATACTTAAACTAACAAAAAACAGTTAATGCAGCACTGATGCATACAAATAATATAGCAACATATATTATAATAATACTAACCGCGTGTGAACATTGAATCTACGTATTTAAAAAAAAATTAAGTTATTAGAAAAAGTAATACAAACTTGTTTATTTTACTTTTTTGTCGATTTATTGCTAATTTTGAAAACAAAGCTACAAATACATATGGCAGCTCGCAGCCATAATTGTGTCATTAAAATCAGGGGAAGTTATTGGCGACAATAAATACTTTATAATGCCGCTCACCAGTTAAAAATTGCCAGCAAAATGGCACTATTAAAGGTACAATAATTGTTTGGTCAAAGATTGCGTTGCTTGTATCATTGAGATTATAGTTAAATACTGAACCAAAGGCACATCACCCCACACCTACCTTATCACTACAATGGTCATGTGATGTTTTTAAAACATTAAAAGTTAATTAATCGAATGCTGACCTATATTGTCCACTTTCCTGGTGCATTTTCTTTGTTGAGATTATAGAGAACAGTGCTTTATATTATCACAGAGAAGTTCTTAGAAGAATAATTTAAAAAAAAGTTTTTAGTGATGTGATTTAACTTGCGTTAAATGCTTTTAATGGTCTATTATGAAATATGGATCCACTTGTTACCACATAAAAACACTGGTAAGTTTTTTATTTTATACAAAGCTCTCAAAAATCTTTCGTTTTCTCATTTAAAAAGAGGAAAGTCAGGCTCAGGATTTTATGCCATTACTGGTATAATTATGAATCATACGACAATAAGATGTTAGAAAAACAATGTTTATAGAAAAACAATAATTTATAAAAACTTTAATATTTTTTTTAGAATTACTGCACAGTGCAAGCTTCATAAAAATATAACATTTTATTTCATAAATAATTTACTTAATTCACGAGTTTCAACTTAGCTGTCAAGTGTTGAATTCAAAAAAAAATAAATATATAAGAAAATGATAAAAAAGTTTTGACCGATAAGACGACATCTAGGAAACAAATTTTCTTTGTTTTATAAGACTTGCACCCAGGACGTAATATTTAATATTCACAAAAAATTCAGGCTGTCCTAATAATCATTAAAACAGGTTTAGCAAATGTTTCTATCTTATAATGAATAAAATCAGTTCGTTAATATGTTTTTAATAAAATAATAGAAAAAAATTATCTTTCTTTAAAATATAATCATGTTGCTTGCTAGTCTTTTTAATATTATTTGCATAAATATTATAAAATCTTGTCATTCAATTTAAATTACATACTATTTCAATTATTGGAATTGCAAAAACATGCGCCTTGAATAAATAAATGCAATTCATCACAATGGACAATCGTCTAAATAAATTACGATTCCATGAATATTTATACATTGATTAAAAATATAAAAACTAGGTATTTCTAGAGTTTTAATTTGCAAACGAATTACTTTTTTTTTCTGGCTTAATCTTTTATAGTAATAAGTATGGCGAACATAAAATAATTCTTAATTTGTAGGTACTTTAAGTATATTTCGGAAATATTTGACACAAGAACATTTAGCTATATTATCTTTTATTTTTTTAATACAGTAAATCATATGTTAAATATCTCCAGAATATAAATGAATACACACGATATTGTCATCAAAATGAAAAATACTTAACGTAGTACATATGAATTTACATAAAATAATATTATCGATTAATACAATTGCGTATAATCTGTTTAGTAAATAAACTTGTGATTCAAGACAAAACACAATTTACTTTAAGATTCATGATTAAGAATTAGCAGGAAATATTTAAAAAGAAAATGCTCACCATCCACTTGGGTTCAGCTTTTCTTTTTCCGGTTCCCTTTCCTTGCCGTTGCCCATGGCTACCGTCTGATACTACACTAGCACTAGAATAACACTTCACGGTTAACACATTATCTCATTTTCATCTTGTGATTTTTACGCGGATTACAATTTTATCTTGATTAGTGTCGCTCGCTTTCATTTATGCAAGTTGTGTGGATTATGTGTGTATACATATGGCTCAAGTGATAAATCTTGAGTAATGCTACACGAATATATTATGTATTATCGTACATAGGCAGAGCTATAATATTGTCATGTTTACAGTGGAGTGTATCAGAAATGAGACTAATAATTATTTATTAGTCTTATTTCATTGGGGTGAAAATTGTCGTTAAATTGAAATACTTTTCATTGTTTTCTGGTATAAGAATATAAATTGCAATTGAATACTTTATTTATTATACACTTCGTTCGTCGTAAAAAACTGGTTACATGGGTCATTAGGCAAGGGGAGGTCTCATTGCTAACAAGCGATTGCTTCTCGGCAACCCAAATATGGAAAAATTAAAAAAAAATAAGGTTAAAAAAGGTTAAAATTAAAACATAACTAAACTAAAATAAAAAGAATAATATTCATAGAAAAGTAAAAGTTAATCTTTGTCTTAATGAGTCATAATTAATATATTATATAAGTAGCTAATTACGAGGCAGAAGAGAAAATCTTTAAAAAGAAGATTCATAAATAAATTCAAAGACTGAGCTGGTCTGATATACTGATGAAACTTACTAGGTATCTCGGCAAAAAAACGATTGAAGTAGCGTCATACTTGAGTATCAAGTAGGTATTATCGATAAATTTAAATCCTTGACAATAAAGAGTCTGAAGGTGATGATAAGAAATCTTATTGACGTGCTCAAACATCTTGAAAGGAGGATATCATTAAGGGAAGTTTCTAATACCTATAACAAAAAATCTATTAAATGATATATATATATATTATAAACGCGTGATCTTATGTTATTTAAAACGTTGTATCATTAAATATAAGCGTGTATTGACTTTAGTCACCCTGATCATAACTATTGCGTAACTAAGTGATTTTGATAAGGGATATAAAATAGTTATGACTACTTAGTCAAATCAAGATCAAATGAAAAAGCATTTAAAGTTCATGTAAAATCGACATATTGAAATTGATTGATTGTCATGTACAGCAACAATACATTTTCCCCAATTTTGCGTTTAAAAAGCAGCTGGGTAAACAGAAAATGGCTTCGCTTTTGGCGGCAGTGAATAAAGGCTTGCGCATCATTTTCTTTATTTGAGCACTTCATCTGATAGATAGATATATCGGTAATCGGCAAGTGAAGCTGTCAAACTGGGTTCAGATCTTCCTTGAAGGTAGACATTCGCTTTCGTTGCTCTACCAAAGAATGGTATAATTCGTACTAATGTTAAATGTAAAAAAAAATCCATCCAATAGCTGCTCGTGTCAAAAATGCTATGTTGTAATATATATAATTGAATTAGATTATCTCTAAAGACTTGACTCGTGAGACATTTGATATCATATTAAACAGCGTTGCTTGCGTCAACGCTATCAACAAATAAAAATATTTGTCAATATTTAAAATAAAAATTATTTATATTATATAATAATAAATACCGCCAAATATCGTCCGTTCCAATGATTTGTAAGCACGTAGGAATGAACACCTTATTGCCTATGTGCAGACGCAGAAATATGACCTATACCCAAATGGGGATAACGGGACTTAACACAATACAGATAGTACTTACATAGTACGTGGTCAATTATTAAAAACAGGGCAACAAAAAGCAAAAAGGAGAACCACTAACGTCCAGGCGTTAACTGAGATAATTAAATTTGGAATGAAAGTTTTATACAATGTCTAGTTTATCATTGTATTAGCTTAAACCCTGAAAGAATTCATGCAAATTTACTAAGACTACATTGTTTAATCTTTTATTAATCCAATGAGCTTTGTTGACTACGGAAGTACTTTTTAATGAACAAATACGAAATTGCTTACACTTTTAATCAAAGTACACTTAATGTAATCTGCTATTTACACTTTTATTAAACGAATCAATTGAATGCTTACTATGTATATATGCTAGTGGATATATCTTGGCTATTTTGAGAACGATTTGCAAAAGTTACAAGGTCAGAGGTAGAAATAAGTTTAAGCACGACATATTATCTACATTGATAGACCGGAGAGATAGTTCGCGCTTACTTTCTGTATTTTGAACTTGTTGCCCAA